CGGCCACGCGGAGCGGCGCGGACGGCATGGCGGGCACGGCGCTGGGGCTGCCCGCGCCTCCCTCCTTCCCGGCCGCCGCTCCACAAAATGGCGGCGGCAGCGCGGCGGGCGGGGACGGGACGTGTCAGCAGGGCCCCGCCGCGGCCAACCGCGGCACGGCGCGGGGGAGGCGGAGCGGCCGCGGCCGCCCTGAGGGGAGTGCCGGGAGAAAGGACCGGAGGGTGCTGGGCGAGGGAGAGCGGAGTGTGAGTCGCCGGCGAGGTGTGGGAAGCGTCGGGCGCAGCGTGGAGGTAGAGGGTTGCGCCGCCTCGCCCCGAGTTTTGGGCGATAAATAATATATAAAACACCAATATACTTATAGATGTGCTATAGATATATAGAGGTATAGATGATTATATATTTATAAGGTATTGGAGGTCAGAGGAGGAGAAGCTTTATGAGGAGTGTGAGGGCTTGTTCAGCCTGGAGGGGGCTGACCTCATGGCAATGTACAATTCCGTGAGGGGAAGAGGAGGGACAGGCACTGATCTCTGCGGGGACCAATCGACAGGATCCCGGGAGCGGCTGGAGCTGTGTCAGGAGAGGTTTAGGTTGGGTTTTGGGAAAGGTTTTTCCCTCAGAGGTTTCTGGGGCACAGCCCCAAGAGCTCCAGGAGGGTTTGGATACCGCTCCCGTGGATGTACCGGGTGGGATTTTGGGGTGTCTGGGCAAGGTGGGGGCTTGGACTCTGATCCTTGTGGGTCTCTTCCAGCTCAGGATGTAAAGCTTCTGGTTCGCCTTATCCAGGGAAGGGAACGAGGCTGAGGAAGTGTTTGGAGCCCTAGGAGAAGCTGAGGGAGCTGGAAAGGGAGGTGGAAAGCTCCTTTTTCAGCCTGAAAAAAGGAAGCTCAGGGGGACCTTGTGGCTCTCCACAACTCCCTGACAGGAGGGGACAGCCAGAGAAGATCGGGATTTCTCCCCGGGAACAGGGACAGCAGGAGAGGGAACAGCCTCAGTAGCACCAGAGGAGGTTTAGGTTGAAGATTAAGAAGAATTCATCACATAAAGGGCGATGAGGCCTCCAGCGCTCCCACCACCGAACTCCATTCCGCGCCGGTCCCTGAATCCGCTGCCTCTCCGGACTGCGGGATTAAAAAAAGCTCGTCAGAAAAATCAGGTTTTTAGGACAAATTTCCCTCAGTTCGGCACTAGATGGCAGCCGAATGCCGCGGCGGGGCTGGGATGGTGCCGGGGGGAAGCGTTTGGATGCAGGATTGAGTCATCCCGAGGAGGAGAATTGGGCTCGACACCCTGGATGTGCCCGCGGGGATCCGCAGCGACCAGAACGCCAGCACTGTTCGGATTAAACACGGAATTCTGCATTCCAGGAGGAAACGTGGCGCTTTTACTGCAAACTGCATAAATTGGAATGCCAAAACTAGGAGTTCTTTATGTTATTTTTGTTATTTACCCACCGCTGGTGAAATATGCTGGTTTCAGGATTGTTTTCTCACATCCAGGTCAAAATTATCACGGTGCTCCTTGCTCAGCTCAGCTCAGTCCCATTTTTCTGTGAGGTTTTTGTCATCCTTTCCCTTTTCCATTTTGGTCTCCTTGCACTATTTCAATGGCAGGAGGAGGTAACGGAGCAGGAGAAATACAGGAGATAAACCAGGACATCAAAGGAACAAATCTATTCCCCAGCCCAGCTGAACTTCACTAGTGAGGCAGGACTCTCTCCTCAGTGCTTCCTAAAGATATTTTCTGCCCTCCCTTTGCACTGATATTTTTTCCCCTTTGTGCTTTCTGAGGAATTTTTTCCCCATTATCACCACAGCACTTCCAGCAGAGCCTTTTCCTGCTCCCACAACCACAATTCTACTCTACTCTGGGTAAAACTTCTCCCTCTCTTTTATTTTCCATAAAAAATAAAGCTTTTCTCACTATCCCCTCAACTTTAACAAAGAAATCTTTCCCCCTTCTTCATGCAGCCCTTTTGTCACACAGCATTTCCCACCTAAACCTGTCCCCCCAGCACAAAAACTTCTTTCCTTGGGTCTCCTCTCAGCCATTCCTGTCCCTACCCATCATCTCCTCAATTCTTATTCTACAAATAACGAGATCTGATCACCTGGTGCTTCTGGTCAGGGGATTATCAGAGATGCAGTGACCAGACCTGGGCTGAAGCAAGTCTGAGAGTGGTTTTGCTCAGGTTAAAAATGCCAAAAAACTCCATCCAAGCATCCCTGCTGTAATTCCAAAGCTTTTACCAGGAATTACCTGGCCTGCCTTTTTTCCTCCTTTTGCTGAAACACAGCAGCAGTTTGCAGCCTCATAAAACTGAGACTCCAGATCTCCATGGAAGCAAAATCCCAGGTTTTGCCTGCACCTCCAAATAAAGCCAGACAGCCTTTCCATTTATGTCTCACCAAAAAAGAAAAAAAAAAATCAAAATGCAATTAAGAGAAGATTCTTTGCCTGAGGCACAGACTGTTTCCTCCAGAACACTCAAAGCCGGGGTCAAGCTGGGCTTTGAGCTGCTCACATTTAAGCAGTTGTTTTCCTCACATTTAGCACGGGGCAAGGAAAAAGCAGCTTGTTAATGAGCATATCATTCTCCATTTTAGCTCCTGGATGGGTCCTGATGTTTGTACTGGAAATGCCTGGATCAATGCAGGATAACAAAACACCTAAGAAGGCACCACATGGATTTTTAATAGCAGGTACTTGTATAGCAACACGGAAAATGTGAAGTTGCCCTAGGAGCTATTTCCACTTTTCCTTGGCAGTTATAAATCAGCATTCTGCCACTTCTTTAGTGCTGCCTGGACAGGCCAGGATGGATTATCACTCACTGCTCTGCACGTTTTGGGAATTGCTGCAAAGCCTGGGGAAAGCTCTAGCTGTGCAGTCTCACTAAGGCTCTGGCAGCTGGATTAGTACCAAGCCTGTGTTCATGTAATTTCCCCTTTTGTTAGCACAAGAAATGTCTGCATTCATGGCAGAGGAAATTTCTACAGTGATAGAAGGAAAAAATCCAGTGATCAATGGCTCAACAGATATATTGCTAAATGTCCCTCAAAATCAAACAGAATACTCTGATTTTCTTCTCCACACACCTAGATGTGTTCAGTTAAAGCTTAATCCACTGAAAATGAATGAGAAACTGAGATATTGTTTCCCACCTCCCATTTATAATGCATGGAAAGCAAAAAATGAAAATAATCCTTAGGAAATTGCAGACTTTCTTCTATCAGGATTTATATTCTTTTTTCTGCTCTCTGCCCAAGATGCTGTTACAATGTAATCCCCAGAGACTGATGAATAAAAATGTGAAATGACTACAAAACCATCTCTTTAGTGTCTTCAAGGTGCTGTTTTAGGGTTATCCCATCATCCATTAGTGTTATACCATTATTATTATTATTTATTATTATTTAGGGTATCCATTATTACCTGCAGAGGTGTCTTACTGAAGACAATCACATTCCAAACTGTAAATTAAATTTCCATTTCCTCAGACTTACATCAGTGTTAGCACCTGAATTACCCAGTTATCTATAGTCCAAACCTCTGCTAAATAAAATGGAGTATTCAGAGAATAAATCTCTTATTTTCCCATTAATGCTGTCATAATTTCACAGCAGGCAATGGAATATTATTATGACCAGTTTGGGCAGACTCACTTTGAGTCAAGCAAGACCTTGAACCTTTAAATATTTATGAACTTTTCATTTCTTTACATCACCCTCTTAATTTATTAAGTTCAGTGCCAAGGTGGTACAAGGCTCGTTGTTTATATCACATCTGGCAATTCGTGACAAGATGAGGAACAGAGCAGTGACATTGGTTGACAAAAGGTGACAGAAATGTACAAAACCAGTGACACTCCAATGCTCCTGTGCTGAACTGGCTACAGCAAAAAAAAAACCCCAAACCTTTAAAATACCAAAATTTATCTTAATGTTCTTCAAAATTGCCTTTCTTCCAGCATCTCCTTAGGGATCAAAACCCAAAAATGATGGCATCAGTGAGCTGCTAAAATCCAGCACAGAGGCAAGGTGACAAACACAGAGCACCTCCGTGGAGCCGGCTGCAGGTGAGAATGGAAACACAGCAGGAATGACAAACAAAGGAAAAGGTGTTGATGAAATGCCTTCAGCTCCTCAGCCACTCCCGAGTTCTGGAGGAAGGGATTATGTTCAGTACAAGTACCGGGTGTTAGTAAGGATTCCACACACTTCCCATATTGAAACTTCACAAACGACTTCACAAGGAAAAGCAAACAGGTCGTTCACCAGTGCTAACCACTGACACAAACAGATCACACTGAACCTGGCAGTCCCTTTACAGAAGAGCCTTTCCCCTACTTCTTTTTTTTTTTTGCTTTAAGTGCACAGTTCCTAAGTGATAATAAATTAATTTTTCGTGTTACAGCACATACAAACAGCACGTACTAAAAACTACCTCACTAAACACCTCTCTGAAGGTAACTACTTTGTGTATATATTAAACTTCAAGTAATGCTCAGCCCAAGTTTGTTGTTTTTTTAAAGAAAACAATCAGACAAACCAACAACCACTAATTCCAGAGACAAGAACACGAGGGAGATAACACTTAACTACAAGGACTACAGATACACCAACAGAAATGGGGCAAATTCTCAGCACTAAGGCACAATAGAATCAGTACTAGAGTATGGCTAAAACCTTACTTCACTACAGCATCAAGTGAGGAGTTACCAGGGAGTGTTCCTACGCTCAAAACACTCGGCTACAACATCAGTGAGTTCTGTGCTCAAGAAGCTTCTACCTTAGTGCAGCTGCTTTGCTAAAGGAGGGGATTTCAGGGGCAAAGGGGGTGCTCACTTATAATTAAGGGTTGGTTCCTACTTGCTGAAGGAAATGGAGTTTTCTTACTCAATTTATCCCTTTACCTGCGCTCTTTGTGAAACTACAACACAATTCTGATGGGAGAAAAGCAGGTGTTGGATGTTGTTGGTCGCTGGAGCTGACCGGAAAACCCTCGACCAGAAAACCCCCCGTGGTTTTTGGAAAAAAAAATTGTGACCACCGTAAGGTATGATACAAAACCCACCTAAACCACGAGATTAAGTGGGCTTTGGATCAAACACACGCTTAGCTATGGGGTTTGTGGTCCCACCTGAACTTTAAACAACTTTACCCCACAGGAAAAAAATCAAGCACAGGTCTAAGACCAAGAGGTTTTAGGCTTAAAATGAGGGTAGTTCTGGAGAGTCTTTTCAAACAGGCCCTCGCTAAGATCTGCCGCTTGCCCTTAAAAACAGACGATTTCTGGCACTTGCGGACCTCTGCTATTGTTTTTTGATCCGCTGAGATGCCACGAGTTCACCACGAACGGCTCTGGCCGAGAAGCCACCGCAGGAGGAAGAAGCGCTCCGAACCCCGCTGGAAACGCGCATCCTGCCAGTTTGGGCACGGCAAACCCAGAACAGTCTGGAAAACCTCTTCCCTCGCCGGAGAGCGCCGGGCGCCGCATCCTCATCCTCATCCTCATCCTCACCACCTCCGTCCCCTCCCGCACTACGCGCGGCGCGCAGCGGCCGCCGCGTGTCCCCCGCGGGCGAGCGCGGGGCTCATCAGGTTCTCGGTGATGTAGGCCACGAGCAGGCAGATGAAGACGAGCATCACGCAGATGGATCCCCCCACGGCCGTCATGGCCACGACGATGTCGCGCATGGCCGCGGGCTCCACGCGGAACTCCACGCACTGCGCGGGCGGCGCGGGGCGCGGCGGGGCGTAGCGCGGCTGCAGGCACAGGCGGTAGCGCACGCTGCCGTGCGCCTCGGCCAGCAGGTAATCGCGGCATGCGGCCCCCAGCTCCACGCTGTCGCAGGGGAAGCGCGTGTAGGTGCCGTCCCAGGAGCAGTTGAGCGCGAAGCCGCGCAGGGCGGCGGCGGGGCGCGGCGGCCCCCAGTGCCGCAGCCCCCACTGCAGCAGCACGCTGCCGTTCCGCAGCACGTTGGCCACCAGCGCACCGCCCGCGGAGCGGTGGGCGCGGCACCCCCGAGCCGCGCACTGGAAGCCGCGGGCCGGCGGGCGGAAGCACAGCCGCGCCCCCCCCGCCGCTCCATCGCCGCCCACCTTGTAGGGGCACCACGGCTCGTCGGGGTCGGGGTCGGGCTCGGCGGCGCCCAGGCACAGCAGGGCGAGCAGAGGAGGCAGCAGGCTGGGCGTGCCGGGCATGCCGGCGGCCGCCGCCGCATGGAGCCGCGGAGAGAGCGCGGGGAGAGCGCGGGGAGAGCGCGGGCTCGGCAGCCGCCGCGGGGCCGCCGGTGGAGAGGCGGTGCCGCCGTTAACTCTCGCCGGGCTGCGGAGCACCCGCCCGCTGCGGCCGCTGGTGGCCGCACGGACGCGGCTCTCGGGGCTCGGCGCGGAGCGATGAGAGCCCGCGGGGGAGGGCACGGGGGGTGCTGAGACCCCGCAAGGACCGGCACAGGGGGGTGCTGAGACCCCGCAAGGACCGGCACAGGGGGGTGCTGAGACCCCGCAAGGACCGGCACGGAGGATGCTCAGACCCCACAAGGGTCGGCACAGGGATGCTCAGACCCCACAAGAGTTGGCACAGGGGGATGATGAGATCCCGCAAGGACCGGCACAGGGGGGTGATGAAATCCCTCAAGGGCCGGCACAAAGGGATGATGAGACCCCGCAAGGACCGGCACGGGGGATGCTAAGACCCCACAAGAGTTGGCACAGGGGGATGCTCAGACCCCACAAGGGTCGGTACAGGGATTCTCAGATCACACAAAGGTGAGCACAGGGATGTGCTGACCCCACAAGGGTTGGCATAGGGATGCTCAGACCCCACAAGGGTCGGTACAGGGATTCTCAGATCACACAAAGGTGAGCACAGGGATGTGCTGTCCCCCCAAGGGGGGGGGTACAGGGATGCTCAGACCCCACAAGGGTCGGTACAGGGATTCTCAGACCCCACAAGCGTCAGCACAGGGGATGTGCAGCCCCCGCCGTGCCTCCCCCAGGCTCTGCTGTGCCCACCGGGGTCGCATCCCCCAGGATTTGGGGGGCTGCTCTGTCCTGTCATCCCACACCAAACAAGGATATTTGGACACTTGTCCGTGTTTTGATCTGGTTTTACATAGGATCCTATTTTAATTTTCATAGCAGAACATAAGCATTTATCTGTATTTAACCTGTAAAAACCTTGGTTAAAACCCCCCCAAAATGTGCCTGGGAATGGCCAGCAGCTGCCTCTGTCTCCAGGGGCTGACTGGGGAAGGTGACACAGCTCCCCTTCAGCTGATGAAAACCTTGTTCAAAGAAACGGAGATCACACGGATTTAATTTAATTTTATTGTATTTTTAACACGGTGATAACCGCACACCCAGGCTGCTTCAGCCTCCTGGCTTTGGGAATTTAAATAAACTCGGCGAGGGTGTAAGAAAGACACGAGACCCTCCCGGGAGGTCAGCGGGATAACTCCGGGTCTTAGTGCACACCCTGAGACAGAAGGAAGGAGGAGATTCCTCTTCCTGACTCGCCCCAAATTGCTCTTCCTGCCTTCCCCCAAATTCCTCTTCATTTCCCCCCCTTGCAGCCCTGCACTCAGCCCTGGGGTTGGAGCCAGCAGCTGATTTTGCAGCACAGGAGGAGACAGCAGTGCTCCATCCCAGCTTTACACCGTAATTAATGTTCTCTGAACGACCTTGAGAGAGGTGCACGACAGTATTGACTTGTCTAAATGGGGAAAGAAAAGAGCTCTAATGAAACAATAATAAAAATACAGGATTAAACAGTGTGTGGAGGTTCTTCGAGCTGTTGAATTGGTAAAAGTTGCTTGAAGTCCTTTTCTGAGTGACAGGAGCTCTTCCTGCCTTCCCCCAAATTCCTCTTCATTTCCCCCCCCTGCAGCCCTGCACTCAGCCCTGGGGTTGGAGCCAGCAGCTGATTTTGCAGCACAGGAGGAGACAGCAGTGCTCCATCCCAGCTTTACACCGTAATTAATGTTCTCTGAACGACCTTGAGAGAGGTGCACGACAGTATTGACTTGTCTAAATGGGGAAAGAAAAGAGCTCTAATGAAACAATAATAAAAATACAGGATTAAACAGTGTGTGGAGGTTCTTCGAGCTGTTGAATTGGTAAAAGTTGCTTGAAGTCCTTTTCTGAGTGACAGGAGAAAAAAGCAACATTTCTTTTTGGTTTTGATCAGGTTTTACATAAAGATGTGTTCCAGATTTTTTAGCAAAACATAAGCATTTGTGTATATTTAACTTGTAAAATAGAATAATTAACATATTATTTTGTTAAAACCCTCAGCAGTGTGCCTGAACACATTGCTGTAGTTCTTCACTGTTACCTATTTAGGTTACCTGTTTAGAAACACGTTGCAGTTTTCTTTAAAAACAACATTTGAATTATGTAACTTGAAAATACAACAAAAATAAAATCCTGAGGCCTATTTTTATTTCATAGCCTGAACAAAACCAAACCCAAATCATACCCAGAAGGTGATGCTTGCATGTACACAAAGTGCAATTTGCAGCAGTGTGGAATTTGTTTAAATAATTTTGCTTTCTGATGCATTGAGCATGAATGGTAGGAAACCTTTTCCTGTTGGAAAGAAAATTGGATTTTTCCATTTACACTGGATTTTTCAAGTGTATGTTTCCTGAGGAAATCTTTAATTTACCAATATCAAGTACTGCAAGTTATTTCCACATCTAATTTTTCACCAGATTGAATGGGGGTGTCTGCTAGTCTATGGAAAGTTTCCAGGAATCTCTTTTGATACCAAGAGGGATCAATAAAAATATAGGATCAGCATAGAAAAGGATGCTGAAGGTGCAGTTATGGCTTGGAAAACACTCAGATATTGGAGCAGGAAGAGGTGCTGTGCTGCTGAAGGCACTTCTTGGCAAATTCACATGTGGAATTCCAGCCAGGATGCAAAAACTGGAGCTCTGTCAGCCCTTCCTGAGAAATGTGAGCGTGTTCAGCCAGGGGCTGGAGCCAAACCAAGCAAGTTTTTCCTCCTTCAAACCTTGTGCCCTTCTCCTGACAGAGATGATTGCTCCCAGAGCTGTCCAGGGAGGAGATCTGGCACCAACCTCTGTGGCTGCTTGTGATGGACAACTTGCGATGGAAAACTTGGGAAGGACAACTTGTGATGGACAACTTGTGATGGGCAATTTGTGATGGAAAACTTGGGAAGGACAACTTGTGATGGACAACTTGTGATGGAAAACTTGGGATGGACAACTTGTGATGGACAACTTGTGATGGACAACTTGAGATGGACAATTTGTGATGGACAACTTGTGATGGACAACTTGTGATGGAAAACTTGGGATGGACAATTTGTGATGGACAACTTGTGATGGACAACTTGGGATGGACAATTTGTGATGAAAAATTTGTGATGGACAGCTTGAGATGGACAACTTGTGATGGACAACTAGGGATGGACAACTTGTGGTGGACAGCTTGAGATGAGCAACTTGTGATGGAAAACTTGTGATGGAAAACTTGTGATGGAAAACTTGGGATGGAAAACTTGGGATGGAAAACTCGTGATGGACAACTTGAGATGGACAACCTTAGATGGACAACTTTGGATGCACAACTTTTGATGGACAACTTTTGATGCACAACTTTTGATGGACAACTTTTGATGCACAACTTCTGATGCACAACTTTTGATGGACAACTTTTGATGGACAACTTTTGATGCACAACTTGTGATGGACAGCTCACCCTGAGTTCTGCTGGGAGATCCAAGGGTCTGGAGTGTGATGCAGGGAGGGAAAATGGTTGGCACAGCAGTGAAGGCCCTGAACCCATGAAAAAAAATGATAATACTGCAGGTTAACTACATTTTCTGCACTTTTTTTGGCCTTGCACTGTGGCTGAGCACAAACCCAATTATTTAAGGCAGAGCCAAGCAGACCCCCGTGCTTTGGCTTGGCCAGCCTGGCCGTGCTGGCCCCCTGTGAATCCTTTATCTCTTTATCTGTTTGCTCTCTTATCAATCCATCTGTTTCCTGAGATCTTGTTCTGTGCAGTAAAACCCAGCCTGGGCTTTTTTTATGGCATTGCTTCAGCATTCTGCTGCTCAGGCCAAACCCTGTGATCTGTCTGAGCTGTGAAGCCCAGCAGCATCCCAGATTGCTTTACAGCCTCCAGCCAGACCCAGCACCACAGGGGTTTTTTGGCTTTTCTGCTTCTCCTCCACTGCCTTTATTGCCTTTCCTCAAGGAAACAGTGAAGGAGTATCAAAACTCGCTGTGGGCCAGGCAATGAAGCACTGCCAACCCACAGCTCACAATTTATGCAACTCTCTGCTAATTTTAGTCTCAGATGTGGCCAGGGCAGACAGTCCCCAGGGCAGAGATGTTTGCTCTCAGCTGAGGGCAGCACATGACATATGGTTCCTAAAGCATCCTCCCAGCTGGGAGCTTTGCATTCAGTTGAGTTGCTGCAGTTCCCTCCAAGTCATAACTTTGAGGATTACTCACCCTGGACATGCAAACACAGAGAATCTGCCTCCTAATTTAGATTATCCTGCAGCCTGAATCCCTGAGCAGCCTCAGCCCCACTGGGCTTCTATTTCCAGTGCTTGATTCACTCCCAGTCAGGGCTGAAGTGCCAGGGAGGGAGAGCTGAGCTAACACAGCTGGGGTGAGGATTTTAAACTTTCTGAGCTGAAAGGCTCTGACCCCCAAGAGAACACTGCATCGACCTGAGACTGTGAAGAATCTTCCAAAATTGATTGACAGCACTGGGATTGTGGATGTGGGGTTGGTCAGAAGTGTGTAACATCACAGGGTGCAAAACTGAGAGTTTGGGGGTTTAGAATATAGAAATAAACATGAAGCAAGATGGAGGTTTCAGGACAGAGATAGGTTGTGTTTCTTTACCTTCTTCTTCCTTCTTCTCCATGGGTTTGGGTGGTTTTGTGTAATTGGATAAAAACTCCACATTGCGGGCACGGGTGGTTGGTTATCGGGTTAAAAGTAAAAATAATTTAGGTGTCATTTCTTAATTGGATACTTTAGCCTTAAAAGACCTTGTAACAATAAATCATTGGCCATTTTGTGCCTTGTTAATGAAATACTGCAGAGCTCACTGCTGTGAGACTGTAACATTGATAAAAGAAACAATAAACACACGAATGTGTGAACCATCACCTTCAATCCCAGAAGGCAGAAAAGGAAGCACAGAACCCAAGTGGGGCAGCTTGGGCACGGAGCTGTGGCACTGGGGGGGCCGGGGGGGCTGCTCTGCTCAGGGTGCTCTGCAAAAGGAGCTGCAGCCTCAGCTGCTCTGCTGTGAGCGAGCTACTCATAGAGGAGCTGCACGACACAGGGCTGGCAGAGCACCAAGGCAGCTTTAACCATCTCAGGGCATTTTGGGTACCTTAAACCCCACCAGGGTTCTGTAGTGAGCTCCTCGCTGGGCTCCATGAGCAGCTCTGGCACTTGGCTAAAAGATAATTTCCTAAAATTGTCCCTTTCTTTATTCTGCTCTATTCTATGCCAGAGTTGGACTTGCACAGCTGATTGTACTGGTAAGAAACACAAACAGAATGAAAATAAAGAACTGAAAAGTCCCATGAAATGTAAATTTCAAGCTCCGTTACGACCAGTGGAAGAAAAAAATAATCAGTGCTGTCAGAATAAAAAAAGGCTGAGCTTGTTGGGAAATAAATATTGTTTTCCCCAGTGTCTAAAAGTGCTTGCAAAATATGCCACAAACAAGGGATTAAAAAGAGCTCAACTAATTCAAATAGAGAACAAGGATGCTCTGATTTTTTAGCAGGTGATGAGATTCAGGCACAAGCTGTGTTTGAGGTCCCAGTCTGGTGATGAGGAAGCAGAACACAGCTCAGGCACAGGGAGTGGGACAGCTCTGCCCTGTTCTTATCACTTAAACAGGTTCTGGGCTTTGAGATATCATGATCAAATCCATTCTCTTTCCATTTTAATTTCCAGAGGTTCCATCTGACTGTTCCTTTTTGTCCCTGTCTTTTGGAGGCCACAGGATTCAATCTACTCCATCAACAACTCCCAGCTTGCTGATCAAAACCTGTCTAGAAGAGACAAAATTTACCTTAGCTCCTGTTGGGAGACTGGCAACGATCCAAACAGCTTGGAACTGCATTAGTTGGGCTGCAAATATTCCTTTTTTTTGCTGTTTCTTGGTGTGGCTGTCCCTGTCCCCATGGGGATGAGAGCCTCTCTGAGCTCAGGGCAGCCCTCAGCTCCAGCAGGGAAGGGGCACAGCGTTCCAGGGGACACTCTGAGGCCAGCAGGACTGTCACAGCCCAAAGGCAGGGCAAGGAGAGCTCTGCAAGGATCTGCTCCCGGTCTCTGCAGCAGGAAGGGGCTGCAGGAATTCACCCCCACGCTCTGCTGGCTGTGCTTGGTGCTCCTGCACAGCTCCAGGCAAAGAACAGGGAATTTCCTCTGGTTCCCTCCCCACCCTAGTCAGAGGATGTGTTAAAGAAACACAAAATAATTTATCAAGACAGATTCCTTTGTATTAGAGATCAGTCGGGTGAGTCCAGGGACCAGCTCAGGCACCCCTCTGCTGCCCAGGGGGGGTAAAAAACACCCCCAAAAACAGCCAAAAAACCCCTCTCCAGCTTCGAAAGGGGGTGTGAAAAACAAGAGGGTGAAGACCACAGTAAATCAAAAAGTGCTTTAAGAAAAGCAGCAGGATAAGATCATTCCCAGTCTGAGAGACCTCTGAGAGGCAGCAGGGGCCCCACACTGATGGGATTTTCATCTGCACACCCCCTGCCAGGGCCTGCAGAGAGTTCCCTCCTCCTGCCTTTGCTCTGGGCACTGTTTAACTCAGGAGGCAGTTCCCAGAGGAGTTCCCATCCCCTCATTCCTGGAGTATCCCGTTTTTCCAGCAGCTCTCAGAAGTAGTCATCCTTCTTGCCAGCAGCTCCTTGCCTTCCCACACGGTCCTTCTGCTCTTGGACAAGCTCCAGGTCGTCGTTGTCATCCACCTCCCCTCCATGATCCTCCTGGGGGCACAGGGAACAAACAGGAAGGAAAAATCAGCCCAAAAGGAAATCCTGGAGAAGGAGACCCTGAAGCACACCACGCTGTCCCTGACCAGAGCTGTTCCACCAAAGCAGCCCAGCTTTGGAAACCTGGGAAAAGAGGGAAGAAAACACCTCTGGTGGCACCTTCAGGTGTCCCTGGCAGGACACAGAGGGGTTCTGAGCACATTTAATATCCTGGCAGTGCAGCTTGGACACCTCAGCCTGTTGCATGAGGAGCAGAACGAGGGGCAGATGGAACGAGCAGGCATGAGGAGCTGATATTTTACATCCACCACCTTTAAAACCGTGCCACCAGCCCCACCCAGGCCGTGCAGCAGCCAGCACAGCCTCCAGGGGTGATTTCAGCTCCAACCATCCATTGTAGACACCTACAAGAGGCCTGGAGTCACTCAGGGAAAGGAGACCTGCTCTGCCCACCCTCTATTTCCCCACTCCCTTCATTCCCAAACCCTCAGCAATCCTGGGAGAACTGCAGAAAAAACCCTCAGGAGCCACCCACAAAGGGCAGGGAGAGAATGAATGAGACTGGAAGAGGATTCATTTCTGTCTCTGTTTTTCTAGCTCATGCTTGAAAAACATTGATCTGGCATTGCTGCACTGGCAGAGCCTTGATTCCTCCTGTGATTCCTCCTGTGATTGATTCCTGCAGTGATTCCTCCTCTGATTGATTCCTCCTGTGATTGATTCCTCCTCTGATTCCTTCTGTGATTCCTTCTGTAATTCCTCCTATAATCCCTCCTGTGATTGATTCCTGCAGTGATTCCTCCTCTGATTCCTTCTGTGATTCCTTCTATAATTCCTCCTGTAATTCCTCCTATAATTCCTCCTGTGATTGATTCCTGCAGTGATTCCTCCTGTGATTCCTTTTATAATTCCTCCTGTGATTCCCCCTATAGTTCCTGCTATAATTCCTCCTGTGATTGATTTCTCTTGTGATTCTTCCTATGATTCCCCTTGTGCTTCCTCCTGTGATTGATTCCTCCTATGATTCCCCCTATAATTCCTCCTGTGATTCCTCCTATAGTTCCTGCTACAATTTCCTATAATTCCTCCTGTGATTCCTTCTATAGTTCCTGCTACAATTTCCTATAATTCCTCCTGTGATTCCCCCTAAAATTCCTCTTATTATTCCTCCTGTAATTCCCCCTGTGACTGATTCCTCCTATCACTCCTCCTGTAATTCCCCCTGTGATTCCTCCCTGCTGCTCTCTGGGCAGCATCCCACAGCTCAGCCGCTGCAGGTGGGTGCAGACAGAAAGCAGGAGGGCACAAAGGGTGCTCTGAACACCTGGAAAAGGCAGCAGCGAGCTCCAGCTTTGTTCTGGACACCTCCCTGAGCAGGCAGAGGCAGAGCTGGAGCCCCTGCTCACCCCTAAAAGCTGAGTCCCCCCCCAGCTCCTGGCTGCCAACACCCCCAGGCGACCCCACACCCCAGAGAGGGAAAGAGGAAGAACCTTGGTGTCGTACAATTTCTTGCTCCTGATCTTCTTGGTAATCCTCCAGTGGCTCTTCCCTGGGCTTGGCAGGTCTGCCAGCATCCTAAAAAACACAGGCAGGCAGGGTTGGGAGTGCCCAGCCTGCTCCCACCCCTGCATCAGAGCCCTAGGGCTGGACCAGGAATTAGAGGGAGCAGAGGGACAATCAGGCAACACAAATTCCATTTATTTTTTTCCACCCAGTCTCTTTTCCCACCTGCTGGCAGCTCCTTTCTCCTGCAGCAGCAGGGCCCCAGGGCTGTTCCCTCTGGAAAATTTTGGGTTATTTAGGGTAGAGCTTTAGGGAGCACAGCACAGCCAGTCAGGTATTTATGCCACTAATTCTTTCCACATTTTCACTAATCTCAAGGAGGTGTTGCTCTGCTGGTGCCAGCACCTCTCTCTTATTTGATTTCATTGGCCTGGATTTCCTTTTCTTCTTTCTTAATCCCACCATTCATCATGATTTTAGAGCCTGACAGATAAAACACTCCTTTTTTTAAAACAAGCAACGTTCAGCTGCTTGTCAAAACAAATGAACATTTCCCTGATGCAGAGCCTGGCTTCAGGCAGCAAGAAACACTTGGTGAAATAAATGGATTCCATCTGCAAGGAAGCAAACAGGGAGGCAGAGCTCTCACACGCTGCCAGGAGCCTTGGACAGGGCTGCACTGACCAGAACCTGAGCACAGACTCAGATTATTGTCTCTGGTTCTGCTCCCAAGTGCATCCAAGTGCCCTCTCCCACATCCCCCCATCCCTAAAGGCGTTGCAAGTGCCAGGGGGGATTTCAAAAGCAGAGAAGATGAAGCCACAGGAAGCTCTGGTGCTTGGCTAAAAGATAATTTCCTAAACTCTGGTTTAGGAAATCTGGAACCTTTGCTCATTCTGCTCCACTCTATGCCAGAGCTGGACTTGCACAGCTGATAAAAAAACACAAGCAGAATGAAAGCAAAGGACCAAAATTTCCTATGAAATGGAATTTTCAAGCTCCATTGCAACCAGTGGAAGAAAAAATTGGTTGGTTTTGAGCAACCTGCCAAAGAGTTTTCTCCTGCCTGCCACATCTCCCAGTGGGATTATGGATCCATCAGGAATCTGATGTTTCCTGAAGCTCTCCCCAGCTGGGGATCCCTCCCTGGCCCTGTGGTTGTCACCTTTGGTGGCTTCTCCTTCCACTCTTCTTTAACACTGGGCTCCTTGAACTTCTCTGAGGCTCCCACCTTCTCCTCAAAGTCAGGTCTCTCCAGCTCAGCCTCCTCAAACTCATCCTCACCCTGGTTATTGGGGTCCTGGGCAGGATCTGCAGCATCATCTGGCATCTGGACAAAAAAAATAAAAATAAATAAAAAAGGGAAAGTCTTTTGTGGAAGGATATTCCCTCAGGAGGCAGCAACCTGCCCTCCCCAGCAGGCCTGGAGCACTTGCACCTCTCCAAGCCTGTGAGTTTGTTAAAAAAAAAAAAAAAACTAACCCAAAACATCTTTGTCATCCCTCCACACCCAAAGAGTTTGGAGTTTACAGAAACTTCTGGGTGATTATTGACTGATTGGGCTCTTATTCCGAGCCGGATGAAACAGGGCAGGATGAGAGGATGAAAACTTTTCCCTGCCAGGTTGGGCAGGGCTTGGAGCAGCCTGGGGCAGGGGAAGGTGGCTGGGGTGGGGTGGGATGGGATTTAAGGTCCTTTCCAAGCCCTGGAGGGGTTTGTGATGCTGGGGATGGGGTGAGATGGGATTTTTCATGGCTGGAGTGGGGTGAGATGAGATTTTTGATAGCTGGGGTGGGGTGAGACGAGATTTGAGGTCCTTTCCAAGTTTTGGAGGGGTTTGTGATGCTGGGGAAGGGGTGAGATGGGATTTTTGATGGTTGGAGTAGGGGTGGAATGGGATTTTTGTGGGATGAAATGAGATTTTTGATGGCTGGGGGTGGGGTGAGATGGGATTTTTGATGGCTGGAGTGGAATGGGATGGGATTTAAGGTCCTTCCCAAGCCCTGGAGGAGTTTGTGATGCTGGGGATGGGGTGAAATGAGATTTTTGATGGCTGGGAGGGGGGTGAGATGGGATTTTTGATGGCTGGAGGGGAATGGGATGGGATTTAAGGTCCTTCCCAAGCCCTGGAGGAGTTTGTGATGCTGGGGAAGGGGTGAGATGGGATTTTTGATGGCTGGAGATGGGATGGGATTTTTGATGGCTGGGGTGGGGTGAGACGAGATTTGAGGTCCTTTCCAAGTTTTGGAGGGTTTTGTGATGCTAGGAGTGGGGTGAGATGGGATTTTTGATGGCTGGGGATGGGGTGAGACGGGATTTTTGATGGCTGGAGTGGAATGGGATGGGATTTAAGGTCCTTTCCAAGCCCTGGAGGGGTTTGTGATGCTCTGGTCACTCACCATGGGCTCCTGGAGCACGGGCTCTTTCTGGGAGTGCACCTCCCTGCCGATGACTCCTGCATCTGCCAGGGACAGGACAGGGACAGGGACAGGGACAGGACAGGGACAGTCAGAGGAGTCTCCCCAGAGCCACTGCCACCCGGGGGTGGTTTATCTCAGTGCCCTGTGCACAGGAATGAAGGAGGAAATGGAAGGACAGAAAGCTCCACAGACCCTGCAGGGTTTGGCTGCGGCCGGGGAAGGAGCTGGGCTGGGGTAAAAATGAAGTACATGAAGGCATTAAGGAGAAAAAGGATAAATTTGTGTTTCTGTAGTTGTAAGAATGGGCATTAATTAAGTGAGAAATTATTGACGAGATGGTGAAAGGTTTTATAGTGTAGTGATGTAATTGTATAGAGTAAGCTAAGGATATATCATGATATATTATATATATAATATATAATTTCATATTATATTTATAATGTATAAAATATATATAAATATAAAATATGATGTATAAAATGCAATATATAAAATATAATATATAATAGGTAATAGATAATAGATATTAAATATATTATATAAATATAATAATTATATAAAAATATATAATTTATAATATATTTTATCTATGATATAATATAATATATAAATATTATATATAAATATATAAAATAGAATAGAATAGAATAGAATAGAATAGAATAAAATAAAATAAAATAAAATAAAATAAAACAAAGGAATGATTTGCATACCCATTTGCAGCTCCTCCTCGTCCTCCCTGCGCGCTGGCTGTGCGCCTCTCCCGGGGCTGGGGCTGCCCCTGTGCCCAGCCCTGGGGGCAGCCTGGCCATTGCCAGGGGCTGGCAGCGGGGCCCTGGGGGTGCCAGGCAGGCCCTGCCAGCTGCAAGCAAACACAGCTGGGTTAGAACGGGGCCCTGGCTGCGCGCTCTCAGGAGGCTCCTTTGTTATTTTGTTATACTGTATTGTATCAAAGGCATGGTATATTGTATCAAAGACATGGTATATTGTATTGAAGATATGGTATATTGCATCAAAGACATGGTATATTGTATTGAAGGTGTGGTATATTGTGTTAAAGACATGGTATATTGTATCAAAGACATGGTATATTGTATTGAAGGTGTGGTATATTGTATCAAAGACATGGTATATTGTATTGAAGATATGGTATATTGCATCAAAGACATGGTATATTGTATTGAAGGTGTGGTATATTGTATCAAAGACATGGTATATTGTATTGAAGACATGGTATATTGTATCAAAGACATGGTATATTGTATTGAAGGTGTGGTATATTGTATCAAAGACATGGTATATTATATTGAAGATATGGTATATTGTATCAAAGACATGGTATATTGTATTAAAAGTAGAGTATATTATATAAAAGATATGGTATATTGTATTAAAGATACAATATACCATATCTTTATACAATAGATACAATAAAGATATTGTGTTAAAGATATAGTATATTGTATTAAAGATATGGTATATTATATTAAAGATAGAGTATATTGTATTAAAGATATAGTATATTGTATTGAAGACATAGTATATTGTATTAAAGATATACTATATTGTGTTAAAGATATAGTCTATTATATTAAAGATATACCATATTATATTAAAGAGCTGCATGTTCTCAGGAGGCTCATTTATTGTTTTATTATACTATATTGTATTGAAGATATACTATATTAAACATATACTATATTATATTAAAGAGATACCATATTGTATTAAAGATATGCTATATTATATTAAAAATATAGTATATTATATTCAAGATATGCCATATTATATTAAAGATATGCTATATTGTATTAAAGATAGATATACCATATTATATTAAAGAGCTGCATGCTCTCAGGAGGCTCATTATTTTATTGTATTATATTAAATTATTTTATTATACTACATATTAGTATATTAAAGGTATAGTGTTTTATATTAAAGATATACAGTATAATATTAAAGATATACTATATTATATTAAAGATATACTATATTATATTAAAGATATACCATATTATATTAAAGATATACCATATTATATTAAAGATATACCATATTATATTAAAGAAATAGTAGAAGCAAAACCTTTTAACTCCAGTAAGTTACAGCAAATTCCAAGCATGAGATTTAAAAATCTGTTTAAGACATTTCAGATTTTAGTTGCTGGAAAGGAAAGTGGCTTTGATTTCAGGAGATCTTGAAGCCAACAGAAAAACAAATGAGATTTCAAACCCTATTTAAGATATTTTAATTTTTTAATTGGAAAGGACGAGTGGCTTTGACTTCAGCAGCTCCTGAAGCCAGCACACAAACAAATGAGATTTAAAAGTCTGCTTAAGATATTTAATTGTTTTAATTGCTGGAAAGGACGAGTGGCTTTAAACTTCAGGAGATCTTGAAGCCAGCAGATAAACAAATGAGATTTAAAAGTCTGCCTAAGATATTTAATTTTTTTTAATTGCTGTAAAGGACAAGTGGCTTTAACTTTAGAAGCTCTTGAAGCCAACAGACAGACAAATGAGATTTTAAAATCTATTTAAGACATTTTATTTTTTTAATTGCTGGAAAGGATGAGTGGCTCTGACTTCAGCAGCTCCTGAAGCCAGCAGAAAAACAAATGAGATTCCAAACCCTATTTAAGATATTTTAATTGTTTTAATTGCTGGAAAGGACAAGTGGCTTTGACTTCAGGAGATCTTGAAGTCAACAGACAAACAAATGAGATTTTAAAATCTATTTAAGATATTTTAATTGTTTTAATTGCTGGAAAGGACGAGTGGCTTTGACTTCAGCAGCTCCTGAAGCCAGCACACAAACCCTTCAGTGAGAAAAATCACAATCCATCATAAAATCATCAAATACAGGTTGGCCACCACCAAGAGCTCGTCTGGACCCCACTTTAGGTGGCCCCAAAAAGCACCAGGAGCACAAATCCCTGGGTCCTGCTGGGTCCCTGCAGATGTGATTTACCCCAGCACTTTGGGGAGGATGTGGCCATTTAAATTTAAAAATAAATAAAAAAAAATCAAAGTACAATCGCTGCCCTGGAAAGGCCACGGGTTCAGGGCAAAGACAAAAATAGAAGAGAAGAAAGGGCAGGAACGGGCTGAGTCTGGAAGGAGATCCAGAAGTTTCCTCTACAGATAAAACAGGAATGAAATCCTGTTTGCTGCAGTGAACTGCACGCCCACAGGGGATACATCAGTTAAAGGAGGAAGCACTTTTTCACTTTTCACTTATTTTCAGAGCCACTTTCTGGGTTGGGGCCAGGCTTTGATGAATTGCAGCCACAGAAAAAGAAAACAAAACATTTTCTTCCTTTTGCAGAACAGAGCAGTGTCCTGCCAGAGCTGCTGAGACAATAAATTGCTTTTACAATTGGCTTTACTGGTTTCCCCAGTGTCTGTATGTTGGATTACTTCTTTTTTTACTTAGAGATAAAACAATATAGATGTTGTAATTCAAATTATCACAATCAGAAGTCGACTATTTCTTAATTTCAATGCATTATAAGTGTTTCTTGGCTTATCAGCTTTTGCTGCACCATATTATAAATGTCTTAAAGTTTACCATCTAAAATTACCCCCATAAGTCTTACTACATCTTTCCTAATTCAATTTCTCTAATAGAAAATATCTATAAAAACAAAAATCTTTAAAGATTTTATCTATAAAGATAAAATATCTAATAATATCTATAAAACCATCCTTTAAAACTTATTTCTAATTTTATTTTGCTTTCAACAGCACCCATCTGATTTTATAACATTTCGAAATTAGCATTTCTTGCCTCAAAATTTACATGCAAACATCCACCTTCTATCAAACTTGAAAAACTCTCTACAAATCTGTTCCCCACATCTGGATGCTCAGACTCCCAGGAAATCCACCAAAACCAGTAAAAACCCCATTTTTCAAGCAAACCCACAATAAAAACAAGAAGAGGATGCTCCTTTGGGCATTTTCACCCCAAAACTTGAGAATAGAAGAGTTTTGTGTCCCAAAACCAGTAAAAAACCCATTTCTCAAGCAAACCACAATAAAACCAAGAAAAGGGATGCTCCTTTTGGGCATCTTCACCCCAAAAGGTGAGAGTACAATAATTTTGTGTCACAAAACCAGTAAAAAATCCATTTTTCAGGCAAACCCACAATAAAGACAAGAAGAGGATGCAGCTTTTGGGCATCTTCACACCAAAATTTGAGAATAGAAGAATTTTGTGTCCCAAAACCAGTAAAAAACCCATTTTTCAAACAAACCCACAATAAAGACAAGAAGAGGGTGCAGCTTTTGGGCATCTTCACACCGAAATTTGAGAATAGAAGAGTTTTGTGTCCCAAAATCAGTAAAAAACCCCATTTTTCAGGCAAACCCACAATAAAGACAAGAAGAGGATGCAGCTTTTGGGCATCTTCACACCAAAACTTGAGAATAGAAGAGTTTTGTGTCCCAAAATCAGTAAAATCCCCATTTTTCAGGCAAACCCACAATAAAGACAAGAAGAGGATGCTCCTTTTGGTCATCTTCACCCCAAAACTTGAGAACAGAACAATTTTGTGTCCCAAAACCATTAAAAAATCCATTTTTCAAGCAAACCCACAATAAAGACAAGAAGAGGATGCTCCTTTTGGGCATCTTCACCCCAAAACTTGAGCGTAGAACAATTTTGGATGCTCCTTTTGGGCATCTTCACACCAAAACTTGAGAATAGAACAGTTTTGTGCCCCAAAATCATTAAAAAACCCCATTTTTCAGGCAAAACTACAATAAAGACAAGAAGAGGGAATCTCCTTTTGGGCATCTTCACACCAAAAGGTGAGAGCAGAAGAAGAGAATAGAAGAGTTTTGTGTCCCAAAATCAGTAAAATCCCCATTTTTCAGGCAAACCCACAATAAAGACAAGAAGAGGATGCTCCTTTTGGTCATCTTCACCCCAAAACTTGAGAACAGAACAATTTTGTGTCCCAAAACCATTAAAAAATCCATTTTTCAAGCAAACCCACAATAAAGACAAGAAGAGGATGCTCCTTTTGGGCATCTTCACCCCAAAACTTGAGCGTAGAACAATTTTGGACGCTCCTTTTGGTCATCTTCACACCAAAACTTGAGCGTAGAACAATTTTGGATGCTCCTTTTGGGCATCTTCACACCAAACACTGAGAGTAGAAGAATTTTGTGTCCCAAAACCAGGAAAAAAAACGTTTTCAGGCAAACCCACAATAAAGACAAGAAGAGGATGCTCCTTTTGGGCATCTTCACCCCAAAAGGTGAGAATAGAAGAATTTTATGTCACCAAAATCAGTAAAAAAACCCATTTTTCAAGCAAACCCACAATAAAGACAAGAAGAGGGGTGTTCCTTTGGACATCTTCACCCCAAAACTTGCGAATAGAACATTTTTGTGTCCCAAAACCATTAAAAAACCCATTTTTTCAAGCAAACCCACAATAAAGACAAGAAGAGGATGCTCCTTTTGGGCATCTTCACCCCAAAACTTGAGCGTAGAACAATTTTGGATGCTCCTTTTGGGCATCTTCACCCCAAAACTTGAGCATAGAACAATTTTGGATGCTCCTTTTGGTCATCTTCACCCCAAAACTTGAGCGTAGAAGCGTTTTGTGGCACCCACCTTTGCAGTGGCACCTCTCTGCTGCCTGCTGGCTGCTGGCTGCCGGGCACGGGGGGATTTTCTGCTGGGGAGGTTTGTCCTGCCCCAGCCTGGGCCAGCCCAGGAGCTGGGCTCTGCTCGTGGCTCCTCACCTGGATGTGCATCACCATCCTCACACCCTGCAGAGGAGACACCCCTGGCTGTCAGACACCCCCAAACCTGGCCCAGAAAATCCTTTGTTAAAGAACAGACAAATCCTTCGTTAAAGAACAAATCGTTTGTTAAAGAACAAACAAATCCTTTATAAAAGAACAAACAAATCCTTTATAAAAGAACAAACATCCCCAAGTGCTGCTCCTGCTCACCTCCTGCCTCCCTGGCTGCAGCTGGCTGCTGGCTGGCACCAGGGGCTGCTGCCCCTTCCCTCCTCCTCCTCCTCCTCCTCTTCCTCCTCCTCTCAAGCCTGGCATCTTCTGGAGAGCTTCCTTCAGCTGCCTGAACTCTTCCATCTGAGCCTGAGGGGAGGAGAAGGACACAGAGAAACCTCACAGGGGGTTAAACATCTCCCTGCTGGGAAGTGGATTCGTTGTTTAGAAAAGATTTCTTATTTAGGGAATATCTCTTATTTAGATACTATCTCTTGTTTAGAGAATATTTCTTATTTAAAGAATATCTCCTATTTAGAGAATATTTCTTATTTAGAAAATATCGCCTATTTATAAAATATCTCTTATTTAGAGAATATTTCTTATTTAGAGAATAGCTCTTATTTAGAGAATATTTCTTATTTAGGAAATATTTCTTATTTAGAGAATATTTCTTATTTAGGGAATATTTTTTATTTAGAGAATATTTGCCCAGGTGGTTACCTGGGCATTGAGGAGCTGGGAGTGAACCTCCTGGTGGGCTTTCCTGAGGAGCTTGCTCTCTTCTCTGAGTTTAAACACCGTGTCTGCAGGAGAAGAAGAAATTTGTTTAAAAAGAGATATTTTTTTTCTTTCTTGTTTTTTTTTTTTCAAGTGTGGCATCTCCCTTTCTCACCACAAATTCCTCCTGACCTCACAGATCTCTCCAAGCCCAGGAATCACAAACCTGCTCCCCATTCCTTGCAGCAATTCCTGCTCTCCAGGCTCTTTCCCACCTCCTGCTCTCAGCTCAGGCTCTCGCTGTGTTTGCCACAGGACTCAGATAATTTGATTTTTATTTCTCTTCCCCCTTGGCTTCTGACTGTGACGAGTGAATTACAACATCTGTACTGTCTCACCCTTCACATGAGACTGAAAACGGAATAAAAGCTTTTCAAACACCTCTCAGTTCCCCATCCCTGGGTCAGGAAAAGGCTCAATCCAACAAATCCTGATCCCAGTCCCTCCTCAGCCTGGCGTTTTCTGTTTGTCACCCTCACCCTGCAGGTTGGTGACCTCGCTGTCCTTCTCCTGCTGCAGCTGGGCCAGTTTCTGGCTGTGGCTCTCCAGGCTCTTCCTGTGCTCCAGTCTGAGGCTGTTGTGCTGCAGCTGCAGGTCCAGCAGCTGCTTCTTGACATCGTCGTGCTGGTTCTGGAGAGAGAACAAGGGTCAGCGTGGTGCCTTGGGAAGGCTGAGCTGGGACAGAGCCAAAGAATGAAGCAGGGATTTATGGAAAGGATCTCCTCCGTGGAGCCACCTTGGGCAGCACAATGAACCAAAATGGTCCCAGAATGAACCCAAGATGAACCAAAATGAACCCAAAATGAATGCAAGAGGAACCAGAATGGTCCCAAAATGAACCCGAGATGAACCAAAATGGTCTCAAAATGAACCCAAGAGGAACCAAAATGGTTCCAAAATGCAGGAGCGCTCACGGGGTGTCACAGACATATTTTATGCAAAATCTTTTTGCCAGGATCTTTTCTCTTGAGGAGCTGGGAAGCTTCAGCTTCTCCACGTTTTGCTGCTTTGGAATGTGATTTGGAGAATTGTTTGCCCAGCATGTGAAATTGTTTTTACTTGCTGACAATGACAGCCACCTGTGTCGAGGCTGTGAGCAGTCACAAGATTTTATTATCATTCCATTCCTTTCTTTTCCATCTTTCTGATGGATCCTTTCTCTCTATTTTTTTTTTTAGTATAGTTTTAATACAACATTTTAATATTGTATAATATCATAACATAACAAACCAGCCTTCTGAAACATAAAATCAAGATTCTCATCTGGAACACGACCACAACGGGGTCTCTCATTTTGAGAATTTCTTCCACTCCGAGCACCAAGTTCTCCCATCCCTCCTTCCTCCTGCTGTCCAGACAGCAGGAACATTCCAGACCCCGGCAGAAATGATGGGGTGGGAGGTGAAAAAGGCAACAGCAGCACCTCAAACCCAGCTGTCTGCGCCCTGATTCGGGAGCAGCTTTGTGGGACAAAGTGGGATCAGCGACCTGGGGTGTTGAACCCGCGAGCAGGGAGAGGCCACAGCTCATTTTTCACCTCCCAGCAGCCTCAGGAAATCCGTGTCAGAATTCCCTGGGCTGCTCAGGAATGCCAGGGTGCCTCCTGCAGCCAAACATTTTCATCTCCAGCCAGGAGGAAGAAAGGGCTTGGCGAGACAAAGGCTCAGGCCAGGCTCCAGCTGGGTTTTTTTTTGGGGCAGAGTCAAGGCGCTGGGAGGGGCTGGGCCAGCTCCAGATGTGACCCAGCCAGCCAGGGGTGACAGCAGAGCCAGGGGACACCCGAGCCAGATGTGCTGGAGGCTCCATGGAGCCCTTTGGGGACATTTGGGACCTCCAGCTCCCATTTCCCTGGTGATGACAATGACATTCCTGGCAGAAATCTTCCTCCCGAGCGAGCCAGCTCCACTGGGAAACATTTCTGCTCCAGTGGCAGAAGTGTTACCCATAGCCTCATAATGGGCTAAAAACTGCTTTTTTCTGACAAAAAAATCCCATTTTTTTTAAAAAAATCTCCCACAGTCCCAAGGGCTGTTTTATCTTTCAGCAGATGTAAATGTAGTTAAAAAAAAAATAGATGGTTGGGGTTGTTTTTGGTTGTTTTTTTTTCCCCACTCCTCCAATAAAAGGAAGCAAGAGAAAGGGAGCCAGGAATAAAAAAAAAAGCTCTGAGTGTCCCCTTGAGAGAAGCAAAGCAGAGCATTCTGCCCAGGCTGCAGTTGCTATGAAGAGGAATTTTGCTGTTGCAGAGCGTTCCCAGAATCCCAGAATTGGGAGAAAGCCCAAGAGACAGAACTGTACTTCCTTTCCTCCAGCTGGAATCCAAAAGCCAGGCAGCTGGAGGTCCAGCTCAGCTCAGGAAATCCAGCCCAGTGCTGCTGGAACCCAGCCCTCTTTCTTCATCCCAGACTTAAATTAGCATTTCACTGCCAATTTTAGACCAAAAATGTTTTTAAAAACCACCCCAGCAGCCTCCAGTTGCATTGCTCCAACAAAAGCAAAATTGAACATCAAGATGTGCTCCAGGTAGAGCAGGTGATAAGCTATAAAATGCTATAAATTGTTATAAAATACAATAAAATGCTTTGAGCTGCCCTGCTCTGAACCTCTCCCATGGACTGGAATATTTGGTAGGAGCCCAAAGGTGAGCTCCAATGGATAAACCAAATTTTCACACTGAGAGAACCAGAAAAAGAGCCAAACCCAGGGTGATAAAAATGCTCAAAGGCTGATGTTGCAGTAAGAAAAATTATGGAAAAAATATAAAGAAAAATAGAAAAATTATAAAGAAAAGCCTCATAAAATCAGGCCTGCTCTGGCTGGGCTCTTGTGCTGCCCAAGTGGGAAATGGATTTGTACAGAATTTTAAAAGTTTGATAGAAGGTTTATGTAGTGTGTATTTGTATGTAAATTTTGAGATAGGCAATGTTGATTTAGAAATGTTAGGGAATAAGATAGATATTGTTAAGGGAGAAATGGAATTAGAAATAAGTTTTAAAAGATGGATAATTCTATTTCTCTAAAATATCTATTTTAGATATTTTAGAGATAATTTCAACCCAGGGTGATAAAAATGCTCAAAGGCTGATGTTGCAGTAAGAAAAATTATGGAAAAAATATAAAGAAAAATAGAAAAATTATAAAGAAAAGCCTCATAAAATCAGGCCTGCTCTGGCTGGGCTCTTGTGCTGCCCAAGTGGGAAATGGATTTGTACAGAATTTAAAAAGTTTGATAGAAGGTTTATGTAGTGTGTATTTGTATGTAAATTTTGAGATAGGCAATGTTGATTTAGAAATGTTAGGGAATAAGATAGATATTGTTAAGGGAGAAATGGAATTAGAAATAAGTTTTAAAAGATGGATAATTCATTTTATTTTAGAGAAATAGAGTTATGGAAGATGTATTGTAGTAAGATCTGACACCCAAGGTGGATCCATTGAGGAGATCCTTTAAATAAATCCCTGCTTTATTCTGCAGCTCTGCTCTAGCTCAGCCTTCCCAAGTGCAGGAATCTTGGGATTCTCCACCCCTAAAACACAGCAGCCAAACCTCCCTCACCTTCAGGATCTTGTGCTGGGAGCTGAGGGCCCCATATCTGTTCATGGAGTCTTGCTGGGGAGAAAAAAGATCCAACAGTGGCATTAGATCCAGAAAAATCCAGGGCAGGGAGAAAAAAAGATCCAACAGTGCCATTAGATCCAGAAAAATCCAGGGCAGGGAGAAAAAAAGATCCAACAGTGGCATTAGATCCAGAAAAAAATCCAGGGCAGGGAGGAAAAAATCTAACAGTGGCATTGGGTCCAGAAAAATCCAGGGCAGGGAGAAAAAAAGATCTAACAGTGCAATCAGATCTAGAAAAATCCAGGGGAGGGAGAAAAAAGATCCAACAGTGGCATTAGATCCAGAAAAATCCAGGGCAGGGAGAAAAAAAGATCCAACAGTGGCATTAGATCCAGAAAAATCCAGGGCAGGGAGAAAAGCCCCACAGAAGCAGCTGCCCAAATTCAGCCCACAGGGAGGGACTGGGAGCAGCAGAACATTTCCAGGCAGGAAAATGCTGAGTTTTTATCTTCTTTTTGCTGGGGTTGGGATGAAATGTGTGAGGTGGGAGTTCTTGTTTGGACTCAGGTGTTTGTTAGTTCCTATCAGTGTTAGAGTCTCACAGCAGTGAGTTCTGCAGTTCTTCACCAACGAGGCACAAAATGGCCAAATATCTTCCTTTACAAGGCCTTTTGAGGCTAAACTGTCCAATTAAGAAATGACACCTAAATTATTTTCACTTTTAACCCGATAACCAATTGCTTGAAGTTGGCAATGTGGAGTTTTTTACCCAATTCCACAAAACCACCCAAACCCATGGAGGAGAAGAAGGAGAAGGAGAAGGAGAAGGAGAAGGAGAAGGAGAAGGAGAAGGAGAAGGAGAAGGAGACCTTCCCTTCCCTTCCCTTCCCTTCCCTTCCCTTTTTATATTATATATATATTTATATTTAAGTTGTAATGGTCTGATAAAGCATTGTTCAGCATTTATATTTATATTTATATTTATATTTATATTTATATTTATATTTATATTTATATTTAATTTTTAAATTATTTTTATTTTTATTTTTATTTTTTTATATTTAAGTTGTAATGGTCTAATAAAGCGTTGTTCAGCATTTATATTTAGATTTAGATTTAAGTAGTAGTGTTCTAATAAAGCATTGTTCAGCATTTATATTTATATTTAAGTGACAATGTTTTAATAAAGAATTGTTCAGCACTTATATTTATATTTAAGTTATAATGTTTTAATAAAGCATTGTCCAGCATATATATTTATATTTAGATTTAGATTTAGATTTAAATTTAGATTTTTATTTATGTTGTAATGGTCTAATAAAGCATTGTCCAGCATCTATTTCTATTTCTATTTCTATTTCTATTTCTATTTCTATTTCTATTTCTATTTCTATTTCTATTTCTATTTCTATTTCTATTTCTATTTCTATTTCTATTTCTATTTCTATTTCTATTTCTATTTCTATTTCTATTTCTTTATGTTTATGTTTAAAGTTGTGACTTTCTAATAAAGCATTGTCCAGCATCTATTTCTATTTCTATTTCTACTTTTATTTCTATTTCTATTTCTATTTCTATTTCTATTTCTATTTCTATTTCTATTTCTATTTCTATTTCTATTTATTTTTATTTTTATTTTTATTTTTATTTTTATTTCCATTTCAGTTGTGACATTCTACCGAAGCGCTGCCCAGCATTCTGCAGCCCGGCTCAGGTGCCAATCCTTTCCCTGATTTCTGCATTTTTCAGCGCTCTGGGGCTTTGGGCTCTGACCTTCCTTGGTCTTCTTGTGCTCGGCCCTCTCCTTCTGCAGGGAGCGCTCCAGGCGGGAGCGGTGCTCGTACACCACTGGGGAGAGGCAGAGAGCGCAAACCGTGACCCCACCATTAAAAAAAATCACATATTTTCCCCCACCATAAAAAAAAATCAGATTTTTTTCCCACCAATAAAAAATTGAGATATTTTTCCACACCATTAAAAAAAAAAAAAATCAGATATTTCCTCATCATTTAAAAAAAAATAAATTCCCACCTATAAAAAAATTCAGATATTTTTTCCACCGTTTAAAAAAAATCAGATTTTTTTCCCCCACCATTAAAAAAAAAAAAAATCAGATTTTTTGCCCACCAATAAAAAATTGAGATATTTTTTCCACCTTTTAAAAAAAAATCAGATTTTTTTTCTCACCATTAAAAAAAAAAATCAGATTTTTCCCCACCAATAAAAAAATTGAGATATTTCCCCCACCATTTAAAAAAAAAAAAACCAGATTTTTTTTCCCGCCAATAAAAAATTCCGATATTTTTCCCACCAATAAAAAAAATTCAGATATTTTCCCCCACCATTAAAAAAAAAAAAAAAACCAAAAAAACCCAAATCAGGTATTTCCTCCACCATTTAAAAAAAAATCAGATTTTTTCCCACCAATAAAAAACTCAGAGATTTTCCCACCATTAAAAAAAATCAGATATTTCCCCCACGATTTAAAAAAAACAAAATCAGATTTTTTCCCACCCATAAAAAAAAATCAGATATTTCCCCCACCATTAAAAAAAAAATAAATTTTTTTTCCCACCAATAAAAAATTCAGAGATTTTTCCACCATTAAAAAAAAAATCCGATTTTTTCATTAAAAAAAAAATCAGATATTTCCCCCACCATTTAAAAAAATATAAATTTTTTTCCCACCAATAAAAATTCAGATATTTTTCCACCATTAAAATATCAATTTTTTTCCCCCACCATTAAAATGCAGATCTTTTCCCCACCATTAAAAAAAAATTGGATATTTTTTCCACCATTAAAGAAAAATCTGATTCTTTTCCCACCATTTAAAAAAAAACTCAGATATTTGCCCCATCATTAAAAAAATCATATATTTCCCCACCATTAAAAAAAAAATCCAATTTTTTTCCCACCATTAAATTGCAGATCTTTTCCCCACCATTAAAAAAATTGAATATTTTTTCCACCATTAAAAAAAAATCAGATTTTTTCCCACCATTAAAATTCAGACATTTTCCCCACCATTAAAAAAAAATTGGATATTTTTCCCGCCATTAAAAATAAAAATCTGATTTTTTTTCCACCATTAAAAAAATGGGATATTTTTCCCACCTGTTGTTTTAAATTGCAGATCTTTTCCCCACCATTAAAAAAATTGAATATTTTTTCCACCATTAAAAAAAAATCAGATTTTTTCCCACCATTAAAATGCAGATCTTTTCCCCACCATTAAAAAAATTGAATATTTTTTCCACCATTAAAAAAATGGGATATTTTTCCCACCTGTTGTTTCCCACAACAACTCACTCCACCTGTTGTGAACATGCAGAATGTGCTACAGAGATTTCTTTACCCAAGGGTGGGTTCTTAATTATTATTTCTTAATTTCTTCCTTTCTTAATGAACCAACGGTGTTTAGATTAGAGGACCAATTAGGTCAACCTATATATCTATAAAAGCAATAGGTGTCTTAATAATAATAATAATAATAATAATAATAATAATAATAGAATAATGTAGAATAAAGAGATTGATCAACCTTCTATGAATCACAGAGTCGATATTAATTATTGCCCAGCCTGTTGCTGCATCAGGCCCTGAGTGTAGAAGAGATTTTATCCATTCCACAGCCCAGGCCAGGATGCCCAGGCCAGGATTTTTAACCCTGTGTCTTAATAATAATAATAATAATAATAGTGCAGGACAGGTTTTTCCCCTTCCATAGCCCAGGCCAGGATTTTTTCCCCTTCCACAACCCAGCCACTGACTGGCCCTGAGTGTAGAAGAGATTTTATCCCCTTCCACAACCCAGCCATTGAGTGGCCCTCAGTGCAGGACAGGTTTTTCCCCTTCCATAGCCCAGGCCAGGATTTTTTCCCCTTCCACAACCCAGCCATTGACTGATCCTGAGTGTAAAAGAGATTTTATCCCTTCCACAGTTTTTCCACCATTAAAAAAAAATCAGATTTTTTCCCACCATTAAAATTCAGACATTTTCCCCACCATTAAAAAAAAATTGGATATTTTTCCCGCCATTAAAAATAAAAATCTGATTTTTTTTCCACCATTAAAAAAATGGGATATTTTTCCCACCTGTTGTTTCCCACAACAACTCACTCCACCTGTTGTTGTGAACATGCAGAATGTGCTACAGAGATTTCTTTACCCAAGGGTGGGTTCTTAATTATTATTTCTTAATTTCTTCCTTTCTTAATGAACCAACGGTGTTTAGATTAGAGGACCAATTAGGTCAACCTATATATCTATAAAAGCAATAGGTGTCTTAATAATAATAATAATAATAATAATAATAATAATAATAGAATAATGTAGAATAAAGAGATTGATCAACCTTCTATGAATCACAGAGTCGATATTAATTATTGCCCAGCCTGTTGCTGCATCAGGCCCTGAGTGTAGAAGAGATTTTATCCATTCCACAGCCCAGGCCAGGATGCCCAGGCCAGGATTTTTAACCCTTCCACAACCCAGCCATTGACTGGCCCTGAGTGTAAAAGAGATTTTTCCCCTTCCACAACCCAGCCACTGACTGGCCTTGAGTGTAAAAGAGATTTTTCCCCTTCCACAACCCAGCCACTGACTGGCCCTCAGTACAGGACAGGTTTTTCCCCTTCCACAACCCAAGCCAGGATTTTTTCCCCTTCCACAACCCAACCATTGACTGGCCCTGAGTGTAGAAGAGATTTTATCCCTTCCACAGCCCAGGCCAGGATTTTTCCCCTTCCACTACCCAGCCATTGACTGGCCATGAGTGTAAAAGAGATTTTTTTTTCCCTTCCACAACCCAAGCCAGGATTTTTCCCCTTCCACAGCCCAGGCCAGGATTTTTCCCCTTCCACAACCCAGGCCAGGATTTTTTCCCCTTCCAAAACCCAGGCCAGGATTTTATCCCTTTCCACAGCCCAGGCCAGGATTTTTCCCCTTCCACAACCCAACCACTGACTGGCCCTGAGTGTAAAAGAGATTTTTCCCTTTCCAAAACCCAGCCATTGACTGGCCCTCAGTGCAGGACAGAGTTTTCCCCTTCCACAACCCAGGCCAGGATTGTATCCCCTTCCACAACCCAGGCAAGGATTTTTCCCCTTCCACAACCCAACCACTGACTGGCCCTGAGTGTAAAAGAGATTTTTTCCCCTTCCACAGCCCAGGCCAGGATTTTATCCATTCCACAACCCAGCCATTGACTGGCCCTGAGTGTAGAAGAGATTTTTCCCCTTCCACAAGCCAGGCCAGGATTTTTTCCCCTTCCACAACCCAGCCCCCAGTGCAGGAGTGATTTTTTCCCCCTTCCACAACCCACTGCGAAAACCTGGGGGGGTGTTCAGAGCCAGGAGTTGGACTCGGATGATCCCAGTGGGTCCCTCCCAGCTCAGGACAATCCCAAATTCCATCTTTCTTTACTCATCTTTGTGCTGAGGCACAGCAGCAACTCGTCTGGCCGAACAGGCAGCTCGGGGAGCCAGGGAGTCCTGAACAATTTGCTTTTACAGGAGAGAATGGAGGATGGTGAGTGTGTAAATCCAGCTGGAATCCAGCCAGGCACCCTCACCTGCTGCCAAAGGAGCTGCTGAAACAATCAAAAGGCAGAGCCAGGTGCAGAAGAGCACAGGGGAATTAAATTGTGCCACAAGTGCAGGGACAGAGCCCCAGGTTTGCCCCCAGAGCACAGCACCAGAGGCAGATGAGCCTCCCAAAAATCATCTTTCTCATCTGCCCCTCGCCAGGCTTCCCCAAATCCAAAAAGAAGCCTTGCCTTTGTTGAAATTGTTGGACAAGAGAGTGTCTTCTCAAAATAAAAAAGGGTAGCCATGGCAACAGCTGTGTTTGGGAATGGGAGGACTGACAGGGGGTTAGGAATCCCAGCAACAGGCTGCAGCTCTGCAGTTCACACACACTTGGGTGGGAAAAAAGATGAGTTTGGCTCAGTTGTTGGCCCGTTGTTCCCAAAAACTGGGGTTCCCTGAGGCTGCCACTGCCATCCTCTGGGGAAGCAGCCCCTCTGTGCAAGAGGAGCAAGAGAAGCTGGCACACCAGGGAGGGATGTGGGGTAACTTCTGCCCTGCTGGGCTCTGCACGCCCCAAACTCTGCTGCAGGTGGGAATTGTGGCTGGGACTGAGCTGCAGGTGAAGGGAAAATGGAAGCAAACCATGGGATGACAGCGCTGGAGCTGAAGGCACATTAATTAGATCCACTCCCAAGGCTGACCGGGTTTTGTTTCCTGCAGAGGAACACGCACACCCCGCGCTGTGCAAAGGGAACGCGCAGCCCTGGGCACCAGCAGCCCTGCTGGGATGCTCCACTTGCAGCTCAGAGCCACCAGGAGAAGGTTTAACCCTGAAAGGCTCAAATGTTGAGTCACAGATCTGCGGGATGCCCCAGCAATACAGGAAAAAAATACCCCTGGATGTGTCCACAAAGGACATGACAGACACCCTGGATTTGATTGTAGCCGGGGAAGAGCTCCCGTGTAAGCACTGTGATCTAAACTGACTTTTTAGGGGGGAAAAAAAGGGGTTAAATAATATCATGACCTTGAGTAGAACAATTTTTGGCCACATGGATTCATTCTGTGGGAATTCCAGGGGCAGCCCATCCTCCAGTGCTGCCTACCCCAAAGGCATTCCCACCAAACCTCTCATGGGGAGCTCAGCAAATCCCTCCAGAGACCCCCAAATCCTGTGGCAGCTCCTGGAAACCTCGGCACAGCCAGCAAGGCTGGAACGATGGGCTGGACAAAGGAGATCAGAGTTCAGCGACGGAGTAACGCGTGTCCTCAGCCCTCCCCGCGGGCTGAAATCCCATTTTCCCACACTGAGGCATTTATGTAAGGAGGACAAACGAGGGGAGAGAGGGGGAGGAGGAATCCACACGCTGGGTTTGCCTTCCGGTCTCCAGCAGCTCCTGCCAGGGAAACCAAGTGCTGGGCAGCGGGATCAGAAAAGCCAGTTCTTCCTCCTCCTCTTCCTCCTCCTCTTCCTCCTCCTCTTTCTCCACTTCCCATTTTTTTAGGGAGCTAAAAATCCATCAGCAGCATCCATCAGCCCCAAAAAGCTCTTACGACTTTTTAAATCCCGGATCAACTTCTCAAGAATGAGGTGGGTTTGTCAGCCGGATCAGAAAAGCCAATTCTTCCTCCTCCTCTTCCTCTTCTTCCCCCTCTTTTTAGGGAGCTAAAAAAAATCTGCAGCATCCATCAGCCCCAAAAAGCTGGCACGGCTTTTTTTGTCCCAGACTTTTTTAGTCTGACCCAACATCTCAAGAATGAGGTGGGTTTGTCAGCGGGATCAGAAAAGCCAATTCTTCCTCCTCCTCTTCCTCCTCTTCCCCCTCTTCCCCATTTTTTTAGGGAGCTAAAAATCTGCAGCATCCATCAGCCCCAAAAAGCTGTTACGACTTTTTAAATCCCGGATCAACCTCTCAAGAACGAGGTGGGCTTGTCAGAAAAGCCAATTCTGCTTCCTCCCCTTCCTCCTCTTCCCCCTTTTTTTTTAGGGAGCTAAAATCCTGCAGCATCCATCAGCCCCAAAATTCTGGCACTACTTTTTTTAGTCCCGGACTTTTTTTAGTCTGGACTTTTTTAGTCCGGACCAACCTCTGGAGAACGAGGTGGGTTTATCGCCCTGCAGAGGCAGCGGGCAGCAGCGGACTGTGACAAAACTCCAGGGACAGATCCCTTCCCTCTCTGCTGGCTTCCACACGGGGCAGAGGGAGCGGAGCCGCCTCTCAGAGCCTGCCCTGCCTTTTTGCTCCTCGCTTTCGGAGCGACAGGGGTTTGGATTTCCAGCCAAAGGGAGAAGAAATGGAATAGACGTGACGCAGCTGAGCTCGCCCATCCAGCTCCGATCCCCCTTTGCCAATTCAGAGTCAGGGCTGCTCTGATTCCTGACACCCAAATGGGGGAAAAGGAAACAATTCAGAGTCAGGGCTGCTCTAATTCCTGACACCCAAATGGGGGGAAAGGAAACAATTCAGAGTCAGGGCTGCTCTAATTCCTGACACCCAAATGGGGGGAAAGGAAACAGTGCAGCATCTTTAAAGTGAAGAGATGAACAGGGGAGCATGCTTGTGGCTGGGAGGGAGAGAAGTTGGGGCAGGGTGTGCACACGGGGACAGATTCGGAGCGGGTCACTCACCTTGGAGCTCTGGAGAGGATCACTCATCTTGGAGCTCCAGAGCTGGTCACTCATCTCAGAGCTCCGGAGAGGATCACTCATCTCAGAGCTCCGGAGAAGATCACTCATCTCAGAGCTCCAGAGAGGATCACTCATCTCGGAGCTCCGGAGGGGTCACTCACCTTGCAGCTCTGGAGCAGGTAACTCATCTTGGAGCTCCAGAGCTGCTCACTCACCTTGGAGCCCCGGAGAGGATCACACTCACCTTGGAGCTCTGGAGAGGGTCACTCACCGTGGAGCTCCGGAGGGGTCACTCACCTTGGAGCTCCAGAGCAGGTCACTCAGAGCTCCAGAGCAGGTCACTCACCTTGGAGCTGGGCTGACAGCGCTTCCTGCTGCTGTTTGTATTTCTGCGCCAGCGCCTCGGCGCTCCGCACCTTCTGCTGCAAGTGGTTGTAGAGGAAAACTCCGGAGGCCAGGCAGGCCAGGGTGAGCAGGCAGAAGGCGGTCTGCAGCAGCCCCTTCTGCCTCCTGGAGCACATCCCGGTGCCCATGGCGGGGCCGGAGCGGCGGTGCAGCGCAGCCTCGCCGGCGCTGCTAAAGCATCTGGTTATTTCGGCCCAGCGGCTCCTTTCCTCCGCGGATCCCTGCGGAAGATGCGAGCGCAGGCTCGGCTCCGCTCCCTCCGGCCCTGGAGGGGCTCCTGCCGGGCTCTATTCCTCGCTGTCCGGCGGGACATCCGCGTCCGAGGGGAGCCCGAGCATCCTCGGGGGGCGACCCGGAGGGGCTGCGGGGCGAGGGCAGCGGGCGGAGGGCACCGAGCAGCACCAGGAGCAGCAGCAGGAGGAGGAAGAGGAGGAGGAGGAGGAGGAAAACTTTTGCTTCCCATGTGCTGCGGCGGAGAGGGGGGGGCGGGAAGGGGGTACCGCCGCCTTTTGGCTCTTCCCACCTCCCCCGCTGGAGCAAGCACCGGAAAAAATAACCCGGCGAGAGGAGGAGAAGCCCTTGGGCCCCCTCCCCGCGGCTTCCCCCGCCGGCAGATCCTGGAGGAAGCGGCGGCACCGGGGCCGGGAGTGCGGCCAGGATCGCGGCGGCGGCATCCGGGCTGCGGCGGCGGAGAGTCCGCCCTCGGCGGCGGGAGGGGCTGCGGGGGGACACAGGGGGACCTGGGGACAGCAGAATGCCGGGCCAGGGGTGACCGGCTCCCGGCATCACCCGGAGCCCCTCGGCAGTGTGTTCCTTCCCTGCTCCGGTACCTGTTGCTAACGGGAGGAGGATGAGGGACACCGGGAGGGATGGAGCGGGAGAGCATCCTCACGCGAGTTCTTTAAGAGCTGCTAAAAGCTGTGGTTTCTCCTCGGGAAATAGGAGCTGATGAAGGCAGGAGGGCGGGAGGAGGGGAAAGATGGGAGTTTGGCTTTTTCCCAGTGGTTTGCGTTGGAAGGGAGCCTGAACCTCATCCCTGCCCTGGGCAGGGACACCTTCCACCAGCCCAGGTTGCTCCAAGCCCTGTCCATCCCAAGGTGTTCTGGACATGCTCTCCATGTGGGCTCCTCTCTTCTGGCAGAGCCCAGCTGGTTTTACCCAGGTTTTACCCTGGGAAAAACCCTTAAAGGCCCCTTAAAGGACCCTTAAAGGTCCCTTCCAACCCAAAGCATTCCATGATTTTGTACCTCATGGGACAGACAAAGCTCTGGGTTCTGAGCTCACATCTAAGACCCCCAGGTTTGTAATGAATCTTCTCTGATTCATTAGGCTGGCTCATCTTTTATCTGAGCTCACAAGGATATTTCTCCTGGAATTCTGCCAAGTTCCCTCTTTCAGGCACCTGGGGAATAAGCAACAATCACAACAGTTCTTCAGCAGCAATTCCCCTCTAAGAGTCGTGCGTGGTGGTTTCATAAATGTTAATCAAATGAGCTTTACAGCTCTGCTGGGAATTGGATGAGTGGCACTTCTGTCACCCCCACTTGTCATCGGGAAAACTGAGGCACAGTGTTCCTGTAAGGTTATGATTTAGCCAAAATAACTTTTTTATGGTAGGATTTTTTTCCTCCCTCCCCGAGCATTTTAAGTGGATTTGGTGGATTTGTTCTGCCAGGCCTTGGGTGAGACTCAGCCTGCTGGAAATGGGGTGATTTGGCTCTGGTACAGCTCCCACTAAGAATTATAGGCTTTCCTTAATGAATTAACTGATTACTGCAGCTCCTTCTGGAAAGGCGAGCAGCACTGATGGGATGCCATGGATTGAGTGTGTGCAGGACCAGGGACAACCCCCTTCCTATTCTCAGATATTCAGTGCAAGACACTCCACTGTACCAGACAGATTTACTGCCCAACTGTGTCTCTACAGAAATGCCCAACCCTGGGGCTTGCTGAATGCTCCAGCATCTCTCCAGGCTGGAATGTCCTGGCTGCATCCTGAGGACTGAGCAGGCAGCCTGTGGGATGAGGGGTTTCAGTCTCAATTTTGCCTCTATTCAGCACATTCTTTTTTCTTTTTCCTTTTTTTTCTCCCCCTCCTGCACTCATTAATTACTTCCTCATGTGTTGATTCCTGCCTGAGAAACACTGAGAGTTTTTGAGGTTTTTGACAGAGAGAAGTCTGGAAAAGGTTAAAACTAGATTAGGGAATGTTTATTCCCTAATCTGAGAAAGATTTGATTGACAGAATGTCTGTGAGCAGGCACTTTACTTTTGTAACAAACAACTTTATTCCTGCAATGAACTCAGGATTTAACTCCATATTTCTGCACCAGATCTAAGGCCAGTGAGAGCCAAAGGCTTTGCTTCATGTTTGTGCTTTACCAATATTTAAATAATTCAGAGGATTCCTCCTTGTACAAATCCCCACAACATCCCCCATCCCTAAAGGTCTGCACGAGTATTTTTAGGGAGATACAGAGGAGGAGAAACCCCCGAGCTAAACAAACTGACCAGAGGTGACAGCTCCCTTCAAACCCAGCTCAAAATGCTTTGTGCCTCAGGGATTATCTGATCATCTCCTTTTGCTCCCTCTAATCCAGTGGGTGATCACATCTGACGACAGCTTTAAAATCATAATCTGAACAGAACAAGCAATTCCCATGGGAAAGCTCGGGGTGGATGTGCTTGTAAAGAAAATGCCACTTTCCCCCCCTGTGGAACAAACTGTGAGTATTAACCATCCGTGCAAGTCGTGCAGTGCTGGAAAGCTCCGGCCTTTTAATCAGAGCTTTGGATTCCATGGCAGGATTTCATCAGCTGCGGGAGCGTTTTCAGCCAGGTCATGTAAATTCTGTCAAGAAACCAAGTGGCTGAGAGAGATGGATGGAAGGAATGTGCTGGGAGGAGGCTGCATTGTTTGGGGGTTTAGTTTTATAAATCTACAGATAAATGTGCCACATTTCACACTGGACACCCACCTTAAAGGCTTTATGGGGTTTGGATCTGCCTTCTAGGGAATCACACTCTGGGAATCCAGTGCACAAATGTGGGAGGGAACAGGCTGAGCAGGGGAGGAGGAGTTTGAGGCAGGAGTTCAGAGGATGACAAATGACAGAAATGTTGAGAATGGCATGAGAAATGGATGAGAAATGAGAAATGGATGAGAAATGGCACAAATGTTTCAAAGTGCTCAAAGTGGGCACCTTGATGTGCATGGATTCAGAGCACGAGAGGAACCAGCACTCCTGGGGCTGCCAGCCCTTCCCCACACAGAAATTCCCAATTCATTTCCTCCAGCAGCAAAAATGCCCTGAAATTTACCCATTCCTGGGGACAGATCTCACCTCGGTGTCCCCAAGGTGAAGGGGTGGGAGAGATGAAGCATTCCTGTCTTCCCAGAACAAGAAGTGACAGCTTCTAATTAGAATTCATTAGAGGCAGCCCCGGGGAGCTGATGGGACCATTTGTCAGGATGTTGTTGAAATTATTTTTCATCTCATGATGACATGTTGGCTCAGTGCTCTGAGTTCCCTTCCCCAAGCCTACAGAATTCCTTTGAGTCATCTGTGCTGTGCCTAAAAGTGAGGAGATGAGACCCCAGAACCCTCAGCAAACCCTGGGCATGGCCTTGATAAAAGAAAAGGGCAATGGAGGAGCAAAATGAGGCAGAAATTGTTTTTTTTTTTTTAAGTTACAAGGTAAAACTCATAGTTTAGATGAGCATTTCATAGAAACTGGAGCACAAGGAGATCCACAATTACTGAATGTCTGGATATTTTGGCAGTTATTTGGTATTTATCTTAAAATCAGCTCCCAGAGTTGAAGTATTCTGAGAGAAATTATTCTTTCAAAATATTCTTTCTCAAAATGATCTTTACTTCAAGAATTTACAGTGCAAAAAACTTCCACCATGTGAGTCTTAGGTCAAAGTATTCTGTGAAAAACTGTTTATTCTTTAAAAAAATAGTCTTTACTCCAAGAATTTACAGGGCAAAACACTTCCATCATGTGAATCTTAGATCCTCTGAGAAAAAAACCCACCTTTGCCTTTTAGTTATACCTCATCTTTTACAGTTTGGACTGGGAATCTTCCTTGCTTTGAGTCCTGGACCAGTCTGTGATTTGGGTTAGTTTTTATTCAAAAAGCAATAAAACACCAGGCATCACCAGGCAGGATTCTGGAGGTGCAGACCTCCAGAAATTATAATTAATATAATAATTACATTATTTTCCCTGCTGTGGGTGAAGTCCCATTTGTCACCATGTTGTTGTGAGGGGGATTTCTGGGAAAAATAAAGAACATTTTAATTGTTGTTAACCAGGCTGGAGCCTGAGCAGGTGATGGTGGGAGGAGAAGGCAGCAGCAGCAGCGTGGAGCTGGCACAGAACACTCAGCAGATCTGTTCTGCTCCCTCCTCCAGGATGTTCTGCTGCTCTGTGGCACCTCAGGATAACAGAGAGCTGAGAATTCCTCATGATCTCACTGCAGTGCTTTTCCAGGGGAAGCTTCATGCCTGCACAAGCACTCTGTGGGATCAGCCAGCCTCATCACTTGGACACAGGGCTGCTTTGTCTGACTTCATGCTCTGCAGATATCCATGACACATCAGGCTGGAAAGATCATTTATGAGCAACTCAAGCTGGCATTTCTACACAGAAGGTGTCAGCCAGGGAGATTTCAGTCTGGTTTTTAAAACCCCCATAAGCCAAGAGCTTAAGTCATCTCTGCTTTGTCACTGTGTGTTAACTGTAGCCATCGAGAGATTTAGGGTGAGATTTCAGACACTGCTTAATCATTGTTGGTTTTAAATAGAACAGACTTTCCTGAACCATGCATTTGGGTCCTGAAAATCCCATTCAGCATTTTTCTGCACATGGATCATGGGAACACGGTCCAAAGGGGTTTGCCAGAGAGATGTGGAGTCTGAGATTCATGTCTGAATTCAGAAGTGATGAGAGAATCTGGGACTATCTGGGAATCTTCCTTGCTGGTGGATTCAGCAGCCTCCTTCCAGGGATCCATCTCCAGCTGGCAGGAGTGGATGTCTTCAGTAGCAAGAGTTTCATAAGAAGATCAACACAAAGCCATAAAAATGGAAATCACCTCCTGTTCTGTTAAATTAACCTGTCAAAAATTCTCTCTGTGGCCAACAATCAAGCTGACAATAAGCTAATTACAGAAAGACCTCTAAACACAAAAAGTATTAGATTGACTGGGTTGTTACCTGCCTATATTTTCCTGCCTGAGCAGCCCACAAATCTTCAGGCACATTGTTGATTTGCCTCCTTGTGTGATCCCAGGGGAGATAAAATCTGCAGGAGTGCCTGTGACTCTCCCAGATCCCAGGGCTGGAGGCACAGGAGCCAATTCCCCTGCACAAAAACACTCCTTGCAGCCAGCACTGCCTGCAAAGTCAACCTCAAGGAGCTCCAGCTCTATTTCTTACATAACACTCAATAACAATCCTCTTGGGAAGCCCTCCCAGCCCTCTTTATATCATTTAGATAAGAAAAAAGCCCCTTTAGGGCAAAGTAATTCAAGCCCCTCTTCTGCAGATGATGCACTGATGGGTAGTGCAGGTTTAGCCCTGCATTTAATCACCCTGAGGAGCACAGGGATGCCTTGGGAAGGCTGGCCTGGAACAGAGGCTGCACAGAGCTAAAGAATAAAGCAGGGATTTATGAAAAGGATCTCCTCCATGGATCCACCTTGGGCAGCACGAGAGCCCAGCCAGGGCTGCACCCAAGATGAACCAAAAAGGTCCCAAAATGAACCCAAGAGGAACCAAAATGGTCCCAAGATTAACAAAAATGGTCCCAAAATGAACCCAAGAGGAACCAGAATGGTCCCAAAATGAACCCAAGAGGAACCAGAATGGTCCCAAAATGAACCCAAGGTGACAGAATGGTCCCAAAATGAACCCAAGATGAACCCAAATGGTCCCAAAATGAACCTAAGATGAACCAAAATGGTCCCAAAATGAACCCAAGATGAACCAAAATGGTCCCAAAATGAACCCTGATATGAAGCCCAGACCCACCCACTAAAGCAGCACCTGAGGCATCAACAGCACAGGACAATCATGCTGAAATTTCAGCCTTTTCCTTCTGAAACTTCCCCAATCCCCCCCTCTTCCCCTGCTCCTTGGTTATTTGCCATTGGCACGTCCCCCCTGCCTCCTCACAGCCATCTCTGCAGCTTGCTCCCAGCAGATTCCCTGTCTTGGTGTGTGGATGGAAAAGAGGGAATGGCAGTGAATCCCTTCCCTGGGCACCACGGGAGTGGGGAATGAGCAGCCTTGCAGTGTCTCCTTCCTCAGCATTCCTGCAGAAAAATGGGATGTCCCTCCTGGTGACCCTCCCAGGGCCTGCAACAGCACCAGGATTTCATTAATTGGGTTTTCAGCAGAAGCCAATGATTGTAAAAATCACCAAACCTGGGCTTGCAAAGGGTGCATCAAGGACTGGAAGGACGGGGTTGGGTTAGGTTCACTTGTAAAAATTAACTCTGATTTAGGACAGGACCTGACAAGAATTACAGCAGGAAAACTATTAATAAAATCCTTGTGTCTTGCTGCTGTGTGCAATTTCACTTTTAAAACTTAACTCTTATTTAGGACAGGGCCTGACAAGAATTACAGCATGAGCCCTATTCATAAAATCTTTATGTGTTGCTACTGTGTGCAGTTCCACTTTTAAAACTCAACTCTTATTTAGGACAGGATCTGACAATAATTACACTTGTGTGTTGTTGCTGTGTGCAGTTTCACTTTCAAAAATTAACCCTGATTTAGGACAGGACCTGACAAGAATTACAGCTATTCATAAAATCTTTGTGTGCATCACAAACAGGGAGGCACAAGGACCCAATTTCCCAGGAAAAAAAGCCAAATATTCATTTACAGCCACACAGGCCTTAACTCAGGCACATGAGTGAGTTACTTAAATTAAAAAAAAAAAAAAAGCTGAAAAAAAAACCCCAAAAAAACCAAAACAAAACAAAAAAAGAGGACTGGTTTCAGGTTCAGGGCTGGTGTAAACCCACTGATTTCAGGACCACTTTGGGATTTTGAAGGCTCTCATTGGGATCTAAGCACAGCCATCCCAGAATTCAGCCAGTTTTCCACCTGCCACTGCTGGGACACTCAGCAAAGGCCAGAATTCTGATCCATTTTCCTCATTTTTCAGTGATGCTGAGCACTGGAGGGATCCTGCCTTAGGTACTGTGTGGAGGAAGAGGAGGGGACTCCAAATACCCCTCAAAAATCAGAATTATTGGCACAGGTTCAGGGTCTGTCCCTGCCTGCTCCTGCTACCCTTAATTATTATTATTTTTTGCTACATTTCCCAGTTGTTTTTCAGTGCTAAAAATAGCTGGGAGGGAATAAAGAGCAATCCCCCTTGGGCTTGGATTCTATTAAGCCGTGGTTCTATTTTCTTCAGAGGAGAAAAGAAAATGTGGAACAGAATTTCCTGAAAGTGAATTCCCAAAGCTGGGCACTGGGGGGATGTAGGTCACTTTGCTTTGTTCTGAGCTATAAATACACTGATTTTTCCCTGAAAAGTGGGAGCACACTCATCCTTGCTGCTTTATTCAGGTCACTGCCTCTGAAGGTAACAGCAGAGGCTCCTGCTGCCACTTCCAGCCTCTGCTTTTAAGGAGAGAATTCTCCAAATAATTTTTTTTCCCTGTATTAAGCATGTAAAACAGCACTGCAGGGGATTAATTTATCTTTTATAATTTTATAATTCTATATATTTTATATATTTTATAATATCTACACTTATATATTCAATATATTTGTAATTTTAGAATATGTAATTTAATTATTTTTATTTATACAATAATTGTATATATTATATAATAGTCTATATGTAATATATAATATATAATATATATAACATAATATATAATATATATACTATATTATATATTATATATAATAATAATAATATATAATCTATATTATTGTATATTATTATATATCATTATAATATAATAGTATAACTTTATATAATATATATATTACATTTTTACATTTATATATATTTACACATTAATATATTATTATTTTATAGAGATATTTTGCATCTCTACAGATCCTGAAAACACATTTTGAGCAGCCTATTTTCCCCTCAATCACCAATACATTTTTATCCCACCAACATATTTTGATCCCACGAAATACTGAAATTCAAAGAACATCACAAAAGGATCGAGTGGCCCAAGTTTTGCACGTGCCACTTCTGGAAGGTGCAAAATATTAAGGAGATTTCTTTGGGGGAAAAAAAGGGCAATAAAAAAAATTTAAAATAATAATAATGGTAATAATAATAATAATAATAATAATAATAATAATAATAATAATAATAATAATAATAATAATAATAATAATAATAATAATAATAATAATAATAATAATAATAATAATAATAATAATAATAATAATAAATTTAATAGAATAAATACAGAAATAGAAATAATAAAAATAATCATTTTATATTTTAAAATCTCCAAGGAAATCCACAGAGCCTGGCTGACCCTGGCGTGGCTTCCATGGCTGCCAGAAGGTGCTGAAGGAAAAGCTCAGGAATATTTCTGTGGAACAGCGGCATCCAGTGGGCAAAGAACAATTCCTGCTGATTTCCTTGGAAATGCCACTTCCAGGCTCTGCTTTTAAGGAGAGAATTCTCCAAATAATTTTTTTGTTCCCCTGTATTAAGCATGTAAAACAGCACTGCAGGGGATTAATTTATCTTTTATAATTTTATAATTCTATATATTTTATATATTTTATAATATCTACACTTATATATTCAATATATTTGTAATTTTAGAATATGTAATTTAATTATTTTTATTTATACAATAATTGTATATATTATATAATAGTCTGAGTTTTCTCCCAATTATTCAGTGCTGGGTAACTCCAGCCCCTTGCAGTAAACTTTGTTAATTTTATTTAACATCCAAGCTGAGTTTTCGTTGCTGCATTGTGACCCATTGCTTTTTGGGCTGGTGATGCCTGAGAAGGTAACTTTGCAAACAGTCAATTTTATTTTTAATTTTATTTTTTATTTTTAATTTTATTTTTAATTTTATTTTTAAAAGAGGGTAGCTTGATTTTTTTTTTTAATTTTAAACAATCGACTTTAATTTTAAATTTTGTTTTTAAAGAGAAAACAGGGTTTAATTTTATTTTTTTTTTTTTTTTTTTTTTAAAGTTTTAAAACATTTCAATTTTATTTTTTAAAGAGAAATCAGCTTGGGAAAAAAATCCCAACCTGTCAGAATTCAGAGCCTGGATGTGCAAGCTCCCATTTAGAACAAGCAAAAGTAAATCCTGAATTATCTCAGTAATATTATATACATATATATATATATATATATAAAATATTATTAATATATATATATATAATATAATATTTGAGTGAGCCCTCTAAGAATGGATCTTGTAGTACAACTGGTGTTGGCTGCGCTCACCTGCCTCTAATTAATTTTTAAATTTAGATTAACATAAATCTGCCTGGCAAAAATCAAGCTGAGGGAGGGAACACCACTGACCACATTCCAAAATATTCCCCAGCACTCACTTTTCACCTTCTGGCCAAAGGCTGGCCTGAAATGCAGCCGTGTCAGGACCAGGACAGATCAATTCCCTCACCCCACGCTCACAAATTCACATTTTTTCCACTTTGTGTGTTCAGCTGGCCTGGCCAACATCGCTTTTACGCAACACAGAGGACAAGGGACACCGAGTCCTCCTGTTTTTATCAAGTGGCAGTGACAAGCTTGCTGTTGGACAGGTCCTTTGTAGCCTGGAGCCACAAAACTCAGGGTGACAGCTGCTGTGCCCTGACACTGTCTCAGAAATTTGCTCTTTTCAGCCTCCACGAGCCCCAGGCCATGCTGCTGCCTGATGTCCTTCTTCCCTCTGCAGCACTTCCAGGGCTCTGGGGTGGCACAAGGGATGGCTTTTGGTGACCTTGCTGCTACATTCCTGCTGGGTGTTAATGCTGGCATGGTTTTACCTCGCTTAACCAGAGTTTTCAAGGTGTCTCTGAGCTCAGCAGGGCCAAATTCAGTGGGGTTTGTGTCTTCACCTGACAGGAGAGTGCAGGGCATTAATGCTACCAAGGTTTTACCTCATTATCCAGAGTTTTCAAGGCGTCTCTGAGCTCAGCAGGGCCAAATTCAGCAGAGTTGGTGTGTCTTCACCTGACAGGAGAGTGCAGGGCATTAAAGCTGGCAAGGTTTTACCTCATTATCCAGAGTTTTCAAGGCGTCTCTGAGCTCAGCAGGGCCAAATTCAGCAGAGTTGGTGTGTCTTCACCTGACAGGAGAGTGCAGGGTATTAAAGCTGCCAAGGTTTTGCCTCACTTGGGTGTCTCTGAGCTCAGCAGGGGCAAAGTCAGCGGAGTTTGTGTGTCTTCACCTGACAGGAGAGAGTCATATGAACACTGTCATCACACACAGTGCTAGCATCACACACGTGATCCAAACTCCTAAATTGCCTCTGAAGGTAATCATAAAAGCAGTAGTCCTATGCTTTCAGGTTCAAGGCCAGGCTGGATGGAGCAACCTGGCCTAGTGGAAGGTGTCCCTGTCCACAACAGGGGGCTGGAGCTCTTTAAGGTGGCCTCCAACCCAACCAATTCCACGATCCAGGTGTTTAAATTCACCTGTGGTGACACTTCAGCCATGCAGGATCTCATCCCAGGCACAAATCTGGGACAGGAGGAGGATTTCAAAGCCCTCCTGCTGAACAAAGACACCAATTCCCTTCACACAACCACAGAACAGTCTGGGTTGGACGGGGACCTTGAGGATCACCTCGTTCCACCCTGTGCCATGGGCAGGGACACCTTCCAGGATCCCAGCTTGCTCCAAGCCCTGGCATTTAACACTTCCAGGGATGGGTGATCTACACCTCCCCTGAGCGACCTCTCCCAGCGCCTCACCCCCTCACAGTGCAGAATTCCCCCCGAATATCCAACCTAAACCCACTATTCTGGCATCCAACCCCCCAAACCGAGCACTTGTTGGACTGAGTGATCCTAAACACCCCAAACACGCAACCCACGAGCATCCCTCCCTCATCCCTCCCCGTCCACTCCCGCTCCGCCCGGGCAAACCGGGCACTGCCCCGAACCTTCCCCTCACCCCCGAGCCGAGACGGGCCTGGGGCTCCCCGTGGGAGACCTCCATAGTACAGAATTCCACCCGAATATCCAACCTAAACCCGCTCTTTTAGCATCCAGCCCCCCCTAAACCGAGCACTTGTTGGACTGAGTGATCCTAAACACTCCAAACACGCGAGCATCCCTCCCTCACACTCCCCATCCCCTCCCGCGGGCTGCGCGGCCGCTCCGCCCGGGCAAACCGGGCACTGCCCCGAACCTTCCCCTCACCCCCGAGCCGAGACGGGCCTGGGGCTCCCCTTGGGCTCCCCGTGGGCTCCCCGCGGGCTCCCGGGAGTTGTAGTCGGAGCGCCCGGAGCGGAACTACGGCTCCCGGCTGCCCGCGGGAGAGCAGGCGGGGCGGCCCCGGGGCCGAGCTGCGGCTGCGGCAGCAGCACCGCGGGGACGCGGCGGCCGCGGGGACACGGCCAGGCTCCGGGGACACGGCCCGGCTGAGGGCAAGGGGGTTTGCTACAGCCACACCGGGAGGTGCCGGGATAAAGGCGGATCTCAGCCCCGGTGCCCAGCGTCACCCGCTGTTCTCCGCCCGCCCGGGCGCCGCTGTGGGGATGGAGGAGGGACGGCGGCGGGCGCAGCGCTGGGCTTGTGGCTCTGGGGATCCTCGGCTCTGCCTTGGCGCTGAGGTACGTGCCTGGCTTTTCTCGGGTTGTTCCCCTCGGCATGGGGCAGCTGGAAGGGGCCGGGGTGGTTCTGGAAGCTTTAGCCGAGGTGATTCTGGTCCCTTTACCGGGGTGGTTCTGGCCCCTTCAGCCGGGATTCGGGCTGCTTTAGCCGGCGTGATTCTGGCCCCTGTATCGGGGTGATTCTGGCCCCTTTACCGGGGTGGTTCTGGCAGCTTTTGCCTGGGTGGTTCTGGCAGCTGTAGCTGGGATTAAGGCCCCTTTACCGGGATGGTTCTGGCCCCTTTAACCCGGGTAGTTCTGGCAGCTTTAGCCGGGATTAAGGCCCCTTTACCGGCATGGTTCTGGCCCCGTCAACCGGGATTGAGGCCGCTTTAGCCCGGGTGGTTCTGGCTGCTTTAGCCGGGCTGGTTCCAGCACCTTTACCTGGGATTGGGGCCGCTGTAGCCCGGGTGGTTCTGGCCCCTTTAGCCAGGATTGAGATCCCTTCAGCCGGGCTGGTTCCAGCACCTTTAGCCGGGATTGGGGCCGCTTTAGCCCGGGTGGTTCTGGCCGCTTTAGCCGGGCTGGTTCCAGCGCCTTTAGCCGGGATTGGGGCCGCTTTAGCCCGGGTGGTTCTGGCCTCTTTAGCCGGGCTGGTTCCAGCACCTTTAGCCGGGATTGGGGCCGCTTTAGCCCGGGAGGTTCTGGCCCCTTTAGCCCGGGTGATTCTGGCCGCTTTAGCCGGGCTGGTTCCAGCACCTTTAGCCGGGATTGGGGCCGCTTTAGCCCGGGTGGTTCTGGCCGCTTTAGCCGGGCTGGTTCCAGCACCTTTAGCCGGGATTGGGGCCGCTTTAGCCCGGGTGGTTCTGGCCGCTTTAGCCGGGCTGGTTCCAGCACCTTTAGCCGGGATTGGGGCCGCACCCGGGCGCTGCTGGTGCAGCCCGTCGGTGTTTCCCGGCTGCCCTGGAGGGTGTGAGCAGTCTCCTGTTCCCCGACAGGTACTGCAGGTAAGGCCTGGCTGGCTGGGCTGGCGCTGATTCCTGCCGGGAATTTCGTTTTCCTGGAGCGTGTGAGGAAGGAAGCTCGGAGCTGAGGCACGTGTGGCTTTTTCTCTGCCGTGTTTCTGTATTTCCAGTCTGCCTGAATGAAGGCCAGACGAAAGCCGGAATAAACCCAGAGAAGTTGGTGCAGCTGCACTGGAGGTGCTGAAAGTGTTTGCTCTCATTTCACTGCCCATGCTCAGCTGCGGAATTACTTTCTGAATGTCACAAATTCTGATTTCTACCTCGCTGAGAAGCAAGTGAGCCCTGGCTCACCTTCATGGAGGTCACTTGAGCTTGGCTTTACTGCTGAACCTTCTCTCTTTTTTGGCTAAGAGCCTCATGACATCCTCTGCACTTCTCTGTTGCTGTAGGAGGAGTGTATTTGGCTCAAATGAGATACCATTTTTAATTCTCCTCTGTTTAGCAACTCCCTGGATTGCTGAAACTTGCTATGAAGAATGATGCAGTTGTTCATCCTTCTAGGACCTTCCTCCGTTCTTGATTACCTGTTGAATTTTTCATTCATGGTTTCAGGATCTGGACGAGTGAATTGTCAAGGGATGCAGTGCCTGTAAATAACCCACATCCCACATTTTTATGGTGGGAATGATGCTGTGTGACAAGTAGATGATGGAGATGACAAAGAGGAAGCTTCCACAGCCTTGGCAGAGCTGGAGAGGTTCTTGCCCTCTTTTGAGCTTTGCTTTCTGCTCTCAGTAGTAGGTGTCTAGGTTTGTGTCTAGAGCAGGTGACATGTTTTGGACTCATGGTGGCTCCTTTAAAAAGTTCTTTTTTGACTTACAGGGCAGTAGTTGGGTATCAGGTAACTCTGTGTAGTCTCAGCTCCACCACTGGTGTATCCTCAGTACCTTATGCCTGTTTTTCAGACTGATTTAATTCTGTGCTGGAAGAGCAGGAGTCCTTTAGGGTGCCTGCAGCATTATTAACAGTCTGTCATTTAACAGCATCACCACAGGCTGTGTTTTATTGAAGAATTATTTCCTTTTTAGGCTTCACAAAGGTGAATGTGTTTCCCATGCCTTCCTCTTTGCACAGCTCTGTGAGTCACTGCCATGAGAAGGAGCTTCATATTTGTGTGATACTTGGCTCAGCACAATTCTTTGCTTATTCTGATTTTGCTGTATAGCATCATGTATTTTGACATTTATTTTGAGTGCATGTTTGGAGCCCTGTGGCTGTGAAAATCCTGTGCCAAATTTCGTGTGTGAAGAATCTGTTATTCTCCTGCTTTGGTCTGCAATGGGCACTGCTGGGATTGTTTGGAAGAACTGGGATGCCTTTTCCACTGAAACTTCATCAAATGTCTGGGAAACTGCAAAAAACTGTGGGAGTGCTGGAAGTGTGGTGGTTGCAGTTGTCTCCTTCCCTTTTTCTTGGGAAGAGGGATGTCCATGGCTTTTTCAGCTGCCTTGATGTAGAAGTGGGTGGCTCCAGGAGCACAGAATGCTCAGAGCTGTGGCTGCTGCCTCAGAGACGAGCTCATCTCCTGCCTTGTGTCTGTGCAGGTTTGATTTTGCTGCTCACAGAGGCTGGTCCTGGTGGTCCCTCTGGAGGTGAAGGCTTTCTCCAGCCTAGTCCATCTCTCTGGGGTTGTGTTGTCCCTGCCTGTTCCCATCAAATCTGTTTGCCTTGCTCATCATCTCTGCTCCAGCAGAGCTCTGGGCTCAGGCAGGATTCAGGGCTGTGCTGAATGTCACCGTGCCACAGCAGCTCTGGTCCTGCCCTTTCCCTTCAGTTGTTGTTTTCCAGGGAGAGAACAGAGAGTCCTCTTTGAGTTCTGGCTGTTTTTCAGGGATTCTAGTTCATGGCTTCTCAAGCATGTTTTTGGAGGGGCCAGAATTGTAATACAGTGTTCTCTCACCTTTCCATAACTCTCCCTGGAAGCTCTGATGGGAGAGAAATCATTGAATTCTCCTTAAACAAAGAGAAAGTGCAGTCTGTTGTTTTGTGGGAGATCTGCAGAATTTAAATATTTCTTTTCCCTCTGTAGTAGTGTTTGAAATTTTCAAGAACACAGAAAAAGTCCTTCAGCATTTAGACTGGAACATGGAATCAGTAAAGTTTCATTGTTGTACTGGCAGGATATTCAGCTGATTGATCTTAGACCTTGAGCCACATTCCCTGATGAAACCCCAAGGGAATTAGGGATGAATGCTGGATCAGGGGTTGAAACTTCCTTCTTTTCCTGTGACCAGGCTGTGGAGAGCAGAACTCGGAGTTGGGATGTGTGAGCTTTATTCCTGGCTCTGCCACCAATCCCACGTGTACCTCAGGCTCCATTTCCCATCTAGCAGAGTGCTCTTGGATTCTCCAGAGTCCCCAGAGCACAAAGAAAACATCTGGACCTGTAAAATGCACAGACCTGGAGGGGAACTGATGGACGTGCTGCCCCTCAAACCTTGGTTGAGTGAGGAAGGCAAGATCTCCTCCTCACTTTGCTCTGCTCCCACATGGCTGCCTGGCCAAAGGCATGTCAGCAGAGATTAGATTTAAACCTCCTGATCTGCTTTCAGAGCACAGAAAGGGCAAGTTGCAGGCTGAGAGCAGGCAGGAGTGCAGTGCTGACCGTGCTGGGAGCCTGGAGGGGAATCTCAAGTTGGTAGGATGAGCTATCAAGGCTCATCAGGGATCCAGCAGGTTTTATGCTCCAGCTCCCTCATGCCAGGCTGAAGGAGCTGCTTTTCATTTGGAAAAATTGTGTTCCTAACTCAGAGGATTTGTTAATCCCTTTGTGCCACCACTGCTGAGGGTCCCAGAGTCTGAATACCTGTGAGCCACAGCTCTGTGTTTCCTCAGCCCCTGTTCAACCACCTCTCAGGACATCAGAGTTAATTCCTCTTGATTTTTTCATTCCTGCAGTAAATCAGGATTTTGATTTTTGAATGACTTTTGGGGACACTTACTGACTTTAGGGACAGGCAAGGCAATCATGTTTGGGGTTTTATGGGTTTTTATAGTTTTTTATTGGGGTTTTATGAACTTTTAAATGCTTGAACTCAGATTTTAGTGGTAAATAGGAGTTGATAGCTGGTGTGAGAGAGATGCAGACCTGAGCTTTACCAGGGCTCCACACCATCAGCTCTGGGCCAGATGGTCTTGCCTCTGAGAAATATATTAGAGCAATGTCAAGGAAGAGCACAGTTGAAATCCTCTGCCAAGACAGATTTCTCACTGCTGGAATATGTTTCTGTCTGATCCTCTATTTCTAGATGATTGAAAATAGTTCTGGAAGGGATTTTGCTGAGGCCACCTAGTCCATCCTTCTCCACGAGGCATGCTAAAGTACACTGAAACCCTTCCTGATGGATCTGTTAAGCTTGTTCTTAGAGCAGTGGAGATTGTCCAGCTGCCCTGGGTAGTTGTATTTGACTTTAGTAAACTGGGTTTTTTAATATTGTGGCTTTGTCACTGTTCTGGGAACAGAAAAAAGGGATGCAGGTGGTTGATTATTGACCTCTTCGTGCCAAGGGCCAGAAAAGTGATGGTGATACCTGGCAGGAGATGGAGAAGAATCACTCAATGCAATAATATTGAGTTTTTCTTTCTTTTCCACAGAGATCTTCCATGGAAGAGTTTAAATACAATTCTCCCATTGTTTTCAATGCAAAGACCTTCATTTAAACTTAGCAAATAATTGCCTTTTTTTTTTTTTCCTTAAACAACATTACCTAGTGGTTGTGTGTGTGGGCAGGGAGTATTTGTTTTTATTATAAAGCAATATAAATTTAACTCAGAGATCTGCTATTGAGGAAAAAGTGGATTCTCATCAGCTGCTGAGCTTTTTCAAGGCTCCAGGCTCAAATCTGCAAACTGTCAGCTCCAATTAAAGCCAATGGCTGGAGCTGTTTTTTCTCCCTCCTGGAAAGAATACAGTTCATCAAGAGCCAGAAGGAAATTTCATCATGAGCAATGAGCAATTATCTCATGGGATGTAATAAGAGAGATCCACGAGATGCC